TATTTTTATTTATCTCACATATCATGAAAAATATAAAAAACATAAAATAAAAAAATTACCCAACAATCTATAATAACTGGTACAAGTAATTCTAAATTTAACCAGATATTAAAATATTCAGTAGATACTTTTTCACATAAATAATGTACCACTTTTGTTTTGTTGAGTTTTGCTTCAATTTGACTACCGCCATCGCCTGGAACTTTTAGGCTAATCATATTAATTTTAATATTTAATATATATATTATTATTATATTATTTGATGTAAAAAAATAATTACCAAATATAATGGGAGATATTTGTTTATTTCGTAAATGCCACGAATTTGCAGATAGAATACAACGTAAAGAAATAATTGTGTAGATAATGAAGCACAAATGCATTTTATATTAAATTCTGTTGATTAGATTTTCAATAGTATTATGCATTTCAATTTATATTATAAAATTAACTCTAAAATTTAGAATAACTATTGAAATCATTACAAGTACGTATGATAAATAATTTTAAATAATTGAAAAAGAAGCGTTAATTATTTGTTTTTTTTATCTCGTAGTACGCAATCATTGACGCACACATTTGAAAGTTACATATATTTAAAATTTGTCTCGAGATTATATATAAAAAATCTTATTAATATTTTATATATATAAAATAAATACAATAATAATTTATTTCCTAATAATGTGTTTTAAAATAAACAATATTTTTTTTCATCGAATGTAAATATAATAAAAATTTTTATTTATTTAAAATATATTTTATTATAAAACATTTATGTTGATTAAAATGATTAAAAGAATTATAAGAAAAATATAATATTCAAAATGTGATTATTTCTAACAGAAAAGATTTTATACATTCAATTTCAAACTCTAATTGTAATAAAACTATAAACTTTAAGTGTAACTTTAACTTTTTACAAGTTTATAATAAAATTACTATATAATGCTATTTTTAAAGATATAATAGTTACATACTATTTATAAGTAAATATATAGAAATAATTTTTAGAAGATAATTATTTATATTAATTGTCTTGTTTATTATTTTCAATTTTCAATTTTAAATATTAATTGAATAAATTTTATATTTTATTTTTATATAAAAATAATGAATTTATATCTAAAAAGAAAACTTAAAAAAAAATAAGAAGGAAATAATATTAAATAAAAAATAAAATTATAATAATATAATTTATTTGCATATAAATGATTAAATTCAGAAATGTTTATGAAGGAATATGTACATAACTGTACTTAGATGTATGAAAATATACGATATTCTAACCTGAAATTTTCGAATAATAATTAATATGTACTATTATATTCTAAGAAATATTTAAAGAAATAAATCTGGAAAATCATTGTATTATGTAAATCAACGACTAAAATATTTGTTAATAAATATATCAAAATGCCAACAGTTATAGCATTAGACGTATCTTTATCAATGAGACGTCCGATATTAGGAAGCGTGTCTGGTGAAAGTAATCAAAATGAACAATTAACAAGACATCATTTAGCTGTACATGGAATAAATGCATTGTTACATTATTTACAAACGAATTCAAAGTTGGAATTTGTCGCTTTAGTAAGTGTTTCTGTTTCTAATAATAAATAATATTATTATTTCATTAATTTTAAATCGTTAAATTATCTTTTTTCTAATTTAGGTTGTCTTTTCATCATTATATGAAGTTATTTGTCCATTCACTCGTGATTATGATAGTATACGTTCAAAATTACAATATATTGAAGAATGTGACAAAACTTGCATTGAAACTGCTCTTCATGGTGTTAACAATGTTATTATGGCAGAATGGGGCAATACTACTGCCTGTCAAGTAGTGTTAATTACTGATGGTAATCCTGGCATAGGACCAATGTCTTTAGCTGACTCTTTAAATTCTTTAAATGTAACAAGAGATATAAATCTATTTCCATTACCATTTCCTTATCCAGGGAAACTAAGTGTTGTATGTATCTCATCACAGCAAGGTATGTCAAAATATGGTCATATAATATTTAAATATCTTTTTTTGGTATTTATTAATTTCAATGTTTTTTTATTATTAGATTTTATTATTAGATATTATTTTTTTATTAGATGCTGGTTTACATATTGCTTTACCATTATACCAACGATTAGTTGAACTTGCTGGTGGTGATAGTGTAGTGTTAATTCCTGAAACACCAATTTCAAAACATTCAATTACAGCTTGTTTTCAAAAGTTAGCAGAAACTAATTATGTATCTTTTCAAGGATATTTGAAATGTGGAAATTTAGGTTCTCGTATACTTCTTTCACCAGCACCTATGGTAAATAATAATATAAACAAAGAAATAAATTCGATTAGAATTTAATGAATGAAATTATGTTTATTTGTTATTTTAGGCATATACTAAGAAGACTGATTTTGAATTAGTATCTGGTTTAATAATATCAAAAACTATAGAAATTTGTGGATTTATATCAGTAGCAGATGTTGGTAGTCCTAGTGCTATATCTAGACATTTAGTATTGCCATTATCTACAGAAAAAAATTCAAGTATGCAAGGAATATCTCTAGAAGAAGATTCAGATACAGATGAGAATGGAGATGAAGGGAAAGTACCATCCTTTTGTGTGCTGTTACATGGAGCTTTAAAGGTTACATTTAAATAAATTCAATTTTTTATTTTTCTGAAGATTATAAAATGAATATTTCTTATAGGTTGAAAATATGGTAGCTCTTTGTTTATTAAGTAGTGAATGGTATGGTTTTATATATTCATGGGCAGATACAAAAAAGAAATCAAACTTAATGTTAACAGTCTTGGAGCCAGGTTTAGATGTTGTACCTTGGTTAGGTAATTTTAGCAATTTAGGTCCTATTGATGCAACTAAAGGTGCGATTATTAGTTTCCCAGTTAGACCAAATGAAAAAAGAAGTTATACTCAAAATGCACCTTCTTGGATTCGTCAAATTGGATTACAATCAGATATTCAAAAAATTTTAAGACATGCAAGAAAATTACCTGAAAAAACTCAAAATTTTTATAAGGTAAGATCTAATCTCCTTAAATGGAGAATTATAAATTTTTTAATCTATAATATTTATATTTTTGTATAGGAGGTAAATCGATTACGTAGAGCTGCAGCATCAATGGGATTTGTAGAACTTTTAGAAGGATTGGCTTGTATTTTGGAACGAGAATGTACATTATTACCTCCAAATTTAAACCCTGATTGTACAATTCAAATGGGTCATGTAGCATCTTTGATTAGAAAACCAGAATTTCTAGAGCTTAGATACAATATTCCACCAGCACGTACTAGATTTCAACATGGAGGATCATAGATGAAACAAAAATATGTTTATATGTATTAATGTATATATTAATTCTGCACAAAATATTTATGTATCTTTGTATATTATGTCTATTTAGATATAATTGAAATTTTACTTTTAAATATTTTATTAAATATTTTATTAAATATTTCATTTCTTACTGAAGAAGAAAAAAATTTTTTAATGATAAGTTTAAAAAAATAAGTCTTATTGGATAAAAAAATAAAAATTTTAAAAAATAATTTCAAATTTTGTTCAATTTATAATATTTTAGAATATTAGATTTTAGAATAGAAAATTTTAGAATAGAATATTAGAATTTAGAATATTGAAAAGATTTTAGAATAGAATATTAGAATTTAGAATATTGAAAAAATTTAAAATAAATAAAATAGATTCAAGTATACCATGAATAATAAATTATAAAAATAGTTTTGATATTTTAAATAAATTTATTAATTTTTATTAGGAATAAATATTACATATTATATATATAAATTATTTGAATTTACATTTAAAATTTATTTTTATTTTTGTTTTATATTTTTAATTATATAATACAAGATATTGAATAAACCTTTTGCACTTTGTATACTTGAATATTGAGTGAGATCAGGAACATGAACAAATAATGTTTTTTTAGGTGAAATTTGTAAAGATTTATAAAATATATATTCGCATAAATATCTTCCTGCATCATATGAAATACAAGCATGACATTTTGTTTCATTTGAATTTTCATTAATTATATTACAAATTTGTGTAACATTAATTTCAGTTTCCAAAACTTCAGTTTTAATATTACTTTCATCTGGACATTTATTAAATATATCTGGTCTTAAATAACCATTACTATGAGCACAACATTCTATAGTCAAACATTGTGCTTTGTAACTTACTCCTATATGTAAAACTACCTAAGAAACAAAAGCAAAAAAACAAATTATTTATATATAGAATCTTAAGATATAATTGTATAAATTGAAATTTACTATAGGTTTATATTCTTTCCAAAATTTAGGTATATACATAATAACATCTTCATAAGAAACTGGAATCTCTTTCACAATTATATCAATATCCTTCATCTTTTTTGAATTAGCGCATAGTTTACTTAATTCTTTTACAGCTTCCCAACTGGCATTAATAATATGATTACCAAATGGACCAAAGCCGGTTATTAAAATTGTATTTTTGTTAATTTCCATTATTAAATTTAATTATTTTATCTTAAAAAGATTTTTTTGTTGCAGTAATGCTTCATACAATATACAAATCCATTATCTTTTTTTTTATCACGTGTAAAATATACTAATATGGAGATTTTAATAGATTAAAAGATTACTAATTATGGATTTTTTAATAGAATAAAAAACATGTTATATATTTAATTTTTATGTACTTAATCTTTTTCTTTTGCTAAATATACAATTAAAAATATTTATATCTACTAAATATTATGAATATTTATGTATTTATAATTATTTATCTAATCTATAATAGTATACTGTAATTTATTTATGCATTTATGCATTTATTTCACTATTTTTTCTTTTGATATATGAGATACTATCTTGTTTGTATTTTACCAATGATTCATGAGAGAGAATTAGTTAGGGAAAATGGCTGACTATACAGTAATGTTTTGACAATTTTAATTCTTTTATTATATTAATTTCAGAAAAAAGTGTATAATATATTAAAATATCAATCTATTTATATTGTAAAATATATTTTTTGGTGAAAGTTAAAAATATCTGTTGATATATATGCCTAAATTAATAAGAAAAAACTTATCAAAACTTGTTTGAACGTGTTTCAAGTAGCTGCCATTAGGAAATGCTCATTATAAACGTCTGAATAATTTTTTTCAATAGTTTTGTGAAGACATGCATTAAAATTTTTATACGCTGTAAATATATATATATATATATATATATTTATGTTTATATACTTTTGTGTTTAAAATTGAATTAATTGATTTTATATTTGTAAAAAATAATTTGTTTTATATTAAATTTTGAATTACAATTTAAATAATTAATTTACAATATTAAATTTACAATTTAAATATAATATAGTTTATAAAGAATCTATAATTATTTAAAGAAAATTAATAATTAATTTATGTATTTTAAGATAAATTATACATTTTTTATTGTAATATTTTTTAAATATTTATTTAAAAATAATGTATTTTGTTGTAGATAATCAAGATTTTCTATTGATTAATACATTTATGTAACATTGATACAATGGTATATCATTCATAATGTAATAGTGTTTATAATATTTTTGTAAAAGAGAAATGAAAATGAAATATTTTTGAGGGCAATAAGATGCCTGTCAATCCATTCAATAATGGGACAGCATTTCGCTAGTCTCAAAGAATTTTTTAGAATGGACAATGAAAGGCAATCTTCTGAAACATGTAATGCTATACAACCAACACAATTAGAAATAATGAATCAAGATGATATAGAAAATTTACATAATAATGAAAATAATGGAAATGTATCTACATTGAATTTAAGTTTAATTCTTCATGAAGAATGTAAAGCAGATAGAAGTTTGGATAATGATCATGTAAATTTAGATCTAGATAATCATAATTCTAGATTTGAAACTTTATATAGTCAACCAATTGAGACACAAAATTCAAAACAAATTTGTAGTAATGGAAACATTAATAAAGAGATATGTTTTAAACAACAAGAAGCATGTTGCAGTAGTTCTGGAAGTAGTAATACTAGTAGTAGTTCTGAAGATAGTCCTATAAATCCTTCTTTAAGAAGATCTTCTAAAACTTTATCATTTGGAAAGAGGAAAGGTAAAAATCTTTGTGTATCTTTGTGTTTTCTATCTTTTTTTATGAATTTCAATAATATAGTGTTATTTGTAATATAGTGTATTTAATTTTAAATTTAATTTTATATTTAGGCAAACAACGTAATAAAGATCAAAATTCAATATGTACTCATATTTTGTCTTCAAAGAAAAAACGAAGTAACTGGGTGTTAAAATTTAACTGTGCTAAAAATAAAAATTCTAAAAGCACAGATATTATTCCTGGTCAGGGAAATAATAATTTAGATTGTGTTTGCACTGGTTATAGAAGAACTGAAGAACATTCTATAGGAGCTAGTGTTATATTTAATAGCCGATCTGCTCCTCAAAGTCCAATACTTGGACCACTTCCACCCAGTCCTATAATTAATCTTTCAAGATTTAATCCAGAAGAGTTTCCAATGGAAGTATGTATTATTAATATTTCAATAATTTATTATTATTATTATTATTATTATTATTATTATTATTATTATTATTATTATATATATATATATATATAAAATTATTTTAATATTTCATTATAGGATTGTGACAAAAGAGCACGATTACAACGTGCACGAGAAATGGAGGAAGGTGTTGAACCTCCTCCTGGTTATAAGCCTAATTATCCTTCTGGAATTCAAGTACATCCAAATGGAATAACAGTAGACAGTTTAGCAGCTTTATTCCAAGCGCATGCTGGTATACAAGCTGCTGCTCTTACAGCTTTATCACAAATTGATTTTACATTAATTCCAAACATTGAGAGGCCAGCACATACTCAAGTAAATTAATTGATTATTTTTATTTGAACATAGGAAAAAATAAATTGGTTATTGTTAATTGATATTTATATTTTTAATTTTTTTAATAGGTTGATTATGTTCATTGTCTTGTGCCAGATCTTAGATCAATTACAGCTTGTTCTTTCTATTGGGGTAAAATGGATAGATATGAAGCTGAACGTTTGTTAGAGGGTAAACAAGAAGGTACATTTTTGTTACGTGATTCGGCCCAAGAGGAGTTTATTTTTTCTGTTAGTTTTCGAAAATATGGACGGTCATTACATGCTCGAATTGAACAATGGAATCATAAATTTAGTTTTGATTCACATGATCCAGGAGTTTATGCTTCGGAAACGGTATTTTTATTTTCAAAATTAAATATAGAAAATACATTATATAGATATTCGAAATTTCGTGTATTTTTTCAGGTATGTGGTTTAATTGAGCATTATAAACATCCATCATGTTCTATGTTTTTTGAACCTATGCTTACTATACCATTTCATCGAAATTTTGCTTTCCCTTTACAACATTTATGTCGAGCAGTAATTACTACACGAACGACATATGACGGTATTAATAAGTTACAATTGCCAAAGACGCTTAAAAGTTATCTCAAGGAATATCATTACAAGCAAAGAGTACGGGTTAGACGATTAGATACTGAGAATGACTTACAATCAGATGGAAGATCCATATCATATTTACCTTTAATATAAATCTCTGTATTAATATTTAATAGAGTTTATCAGGCATTATTTTATTGACTTTACATTCGTATTTACTACTTTATTACAGTGATATGTGGTGTATATATAATAGTAGAATTAAAATTACTGCACGGAATACATAAATAATACATATAAAAACTGTAATTTTTCGTAAATGTTACAAAATTTAAAAAACAATATTTTTTTTGTTTTAAATATAATCCGTCCTTTATTTTCTTCACATTATAATATCAAATAAAATATTATTATTTTACTTACATATCACATATTTGCGATTATAATTATATTTCTTATGCGTATTTATAATTATGAATATTATGGATAATTTAAGAAATTTTAGAAAGTTCAATTTGGAATTATATATAATCTTTATATATAATATTATAGTACTAAAGATATTGGAATTATTTTTGAAGGCACTTAACATTTAACAAAAAAATCATAATAGTAAACTATAATAACAAAATATACATATTCTACATAAAACAAAATATTAGCATAATTAAAATAGTTGTTATTTTCATTTTAATATCATTTCTAATTTGTATTATAAATAAATGAATTGGTAAAAGAAGAAAAAGAAAAAAATACAATAACAATACATAAATAAATTAAAACAATAACCATATAAATACACTGCATATTATATCTTATAATTTAGTGATTAAATTTTTCTTTATATTATTTTTAACATTTATTTGTAATTAAATTAGTTGATATTCATTTCAAATATAATTTAGTTGATATGTTAAAAAATAATTAAAAATATCTGAAATCCAATATCATTGTGGTATGTTATATTAAAATATATTTGCTGATTTTAAATTTGTACTTGTTCTGTATATTTATTATTATTATTACATATTAAAAATATCTTACATACTTACATCTTAAATAATTATTTTCAATCTTAAAAGGAATAGTTAACAAATATATTTCATTTTGCAAAGGATTTTTCTCATGTAACAAAGCATCTATTACTATTAAATTACTATTAAATATAAAAAAAATGAATTACTGCAATTATTAGTTAATTGAATATTTAATATTTAATTATATAATAAAATATACATATGGTTTTGAATAGAGATATTTCCTTAATAAAATATATTAATTCATTTTAAAATACTAAAATCATATATAACTTTGAATACAAATTTACTATTACTTTCACCATACAATGTTAATATATGTTATATATAATAATTATATGTTATAAATTTTTTTAATTAAAATACAAGAATAAATTGTTTTTCTTAAAATAAATACAATTAAAATATTATTGATTTTGAATGTAACATGTACTGTATAATTGGTAATACTATTTTACAATTGAATACAAAAAAGAAAAAGAAGAGTATAACAAAAAATATATCTATATGTATTATAGGAATAATAAAATAATTTTCAAATGTTTTATTATGGTAGTTTGTTACTATTTTTTAAATGTATAAAATTATATATTGTAATATTTTTTGAATAGATTTCAATTTTTATATACATTTTAGAAAGGATACTGATGAAATTTCTTTCCCATTCTTCAACCATGTATAATTCCGTAACAAGCATGTATCTAAAATACCAGTATTTTAAGAAAGAAAATAATTTTTGTAGTGGATTAATCATATTTCTTATGTTATTTATGGAGTGCTTAAATCGAAACAATAAGCTTATATTACTAAGTTATAAAATAATTACACATAACATATTTTGGGTTATATACCAACTTAAAAGCATGAAATATATATCATTATGTTATCGCATGAACTTGGCTTTATTAACGTTGTAAATTTTGTAATATCTGCTTCAATGTATCAATAAATAAAATGAGAGCGGATTTTTTGAAAATGGCTGAGCAGATGTGAATATAAAGTATATCTTGTTTAAATATTTTTTGTGAAAAATTCATTGTGAAAAAGTAATTACATTTTCTTAACTATTCTACTACTTCTTCTATTCTACTACTACTTCTTAACTATTAAAAATTTTTTAAAATTAATTTATTGTAAACTGAATATGAGAAATGTCAGAATAATTTTATAAACAAAAAATATCGAATAACAAAATTTAAATTTTTATTTTGAATATTCCGCGTATTTTTGGTGAATAAAGCAAATCAATATTTTATAAATATCAAGCTATATTCTTAATTTCTTGAATTTTTATAAATTTGTAAAATATAAAGAATCGAACTTATAAAGAATCGATTCAAACTATAATTTGATATAATATATTAATAATAATATCAAATAATATAATAATAAATAATTAATGATGACATTGTTTTGTTGAAAATTTGAATTCTATTTTAACATTATGATAAGAAAAATGAGGTATAATTATTTTTTTTCTTAGAAAATAAATCTGAAAATATATTATATATAATTAAATATATATATATTTATATATTATATAATTATTTANATATTCAAAATTAATGTTTAAATGTTTAAAAAATTATTTGTATAATATAATGTTATATTGTGATGTTTAATTAAAATTTTAAAATATTTTAAAATTTTAAACTTGAACAAATATTAATATAAAATAAATTTCAACTAATTTAAGACATTATATAGAATTATAGTTTCTAGAAATTAATAAAAGAAATAAAATTTCTAATATTTATCAAATAATATTAAATAAATATAGTAGATATAAAAACTGTTTGTATGGTAATTAATTTCAACAAAAAAGTAATATTTTTAGAAAATTACCTAATAATTTACAAAAAATAAAAATTGTGATATACATATTGTAACAATATATTGTTAATTATTTAGAAAATAATTTTATCATTAAAAAAAAAAATTTTTTTTATTAAAAACAATTTAAAATATAATATAATTGTGAATAAAAATTGTCCATTATTAAGAATAATTGCAATAAAAATTATCAAAGAGTTTAAAAATTATCAATTATTTGGACATTAGTATATATTACAGATTAATCCTTTTATGCAAAAATATAGCAACATCACATTTATATTCAGGATTTTTTTCCTTCCTTATCTCCCTCAATATCATATTAATTATTATATTAATCAATATTATATTATTTATTATATTAATATTCAAATATTATATTAATATTTCACAATATTATTAATTTATAGGATTTTAAGAATAAAATTCTAAAAAACCTTGATGATTGATACGAAATTTGAAAATTTAATAAAGAAAAAGACTTCTAATAAAGACTTCTAATAAAGATTTCTAATAAAATTTTAATTTTATTAGAAATTTAATTTAAATTTTAATCAATTATTATTTTCTAAAATAAAAATTTTTTAGCAATATATATTGAATATATGTTTTTAATTTTTTTATATTTATCTCTATTATATTTATTTCATTATAATTACAACGAATTTCTATTTTTGAAAATAATAATCCAAATGATTACATTAAGATTACAAAAAGAATTTAAAGATTTTATATTTTAAGATTTTATATAAGTTAAGATAAAAAGTTTTTATTAACCAAAAATAATGAATATATTTTTTTTAAATAAAATATTTGATCAAATATTTAAAATAATTGAAATTTTCTATTAAATTATACATAATGTTACTAAATTATATATAATTAATAATAGTAATAGTAATAATAATAGTAATAAATTTTAATTTATTTTATTTTTATTTGTATTTATTTTGCAATTTTGATTGTGATAAATCAAATGTGATAAATAAATTTTATCACATTAATTTTATAAAAAAGACAATTTTTTATCAAATTTTCAAATATAAAATTCTAAATATTAAAAAATTTCTTATTCATCATATATCGTTTCTTCAGAGATTTATTATTAATACATATATATTATATATAAAATGTAAATTGTAATTTATATTATAATATGAACTTAAATTAAAATATCAATATAATATTGTAAAAGAACTTTAAATCTTAAATTCTTAAATTTTTTGATAAAAACTGCAATATTAAATTTGCGTCGCTTCTTATTTATTAAAATTTGATTTAATATTTAATATTTATTAAACATCATCATAAAAATTTTTAAAAATTTTTAAAATTGAAAATATATCTATAAAAAAAGAAAAAAGAAAATATAAAAAATTTGTTGCGTTTCAAAAATGTTATATTATAAAATATATACTATAAAATCATATTATAAACAAAATTGAAAATAAATTTTGAGAATTAAATTATATTATAGACAATAAATTGAAATCTTTTATAATTAATGTAAATGACTTCGATAATTCGAAATCAAATATAATTTATATTAATTTCAGATAAAAAAATATTTATTATTCATATTATTTTTTTCCTAATTTAATAACAATACTTCAGACAATGTCCCAGAGAATGTCAGAAAAAAAAAACTCAAAAACCATATCATACTAGCAGGTCATGAGTGTATCTTCTTTTCTTTTTTAATATGTACTTTTTTATAATTTTAATATGTACTTTTAATCAAAGAAAAAACTGAAATTTTGAGGGAGACAAGGAAGGGAAGAAACTCTGAATCTTAGCTTCAAATTTTTATTATTATTTTTGAGATTATTTATAAAAAATTTTATAATACATTATAAAATATAATATATTATAAAATATAATATATTATAAAATATAATATATTATAAAATATAATACATTATAAAATATAATATATAATATATATAAAATATAATACATTATATACATATATGTATATAGATATAATTAACACGATTGAAGAGAGATTGAATTCTGTTTATACACACATACTTGGCAATCCTTCGGATCCGCTGAATGCAAAAATAAAATAAATAATAAAACAATCATTGAATCAAAATTGAATATCAACAATGAATATCAATAATCATTTTTGGCATGTTATAATTATAATCCAAAAGAAATTTCCATCGTTAATTTCTTTATAGATAATCAATGATTCACATGTTACGCTTCTTTTCACTTATGAATCTTTCCTATTATATTCCTTAGAATGTAGAAAAGAGAGAGAGAGAAGAAAGGTAGAGAAATCATAATAATTTTCACGCTGCTTAAGGCGCAACATATTAACATATATTAAAATATATTAAGTAAAATATATTTTCACGCAAAACTAAATTGTTGACTTTTTTTATGATCATGATTTTTGTCGTCGTCATATTATTATGAAGTTATGATATTTAATATCGCTTGCGAATCATGAGAAAAAAAAATATTGCTTAGAATCTAAATCTAAATCTAAAGAAATATGTCATTTGGTATGTGAATGTATTATTCTTTTCCGCTTAGTTTTTTCCTCCTTTATTATTCTCAATCAGAATACATGTTATATCATAGAGATTAGATAAATTTAGATACATTATAAATGTATCGCGTTTGGTAATCTTGTTTATAATTATTGACTTATAACATAAAACAAATTCGTTCCATTTTTTAATTTATTTGTTAATTATTTATTTATTTGTTAATTATTTATTTATTTAAGTAGGTATACATAATTTAACCAATTATGTATCTTTCATTTTGATTTATAATTTTCTGCTATTTTCAGCCTTTCATAAAAAAATTGTAAAATTTAAAAATTGGAATAATTAATAATATAAATATATATTATATATAATAATCTACGTTATCCTTTTTGTTAAATAAATGATTTATGAGTATAATGAGTTTAATGTCTCTGTTATAAATTTCCATTTTTTGTTATCAAAAACAACTTTTTAAAAATATTTTTCTTTATTGTTTTAGTAGCAAATTAACTTAAAAAAAAATTTTAAGTTAAAATCGATTATCTAATGATTTTATTTTATATAAAACATAAAAATTGTGATAAATAATTAAACTTTAATGGTATGTAATCAATTAAAAAAAATTTATTGTTGCATACAAAACTTAAATGTTAATAAAAATCAATAGTTATAAGTAATATTATTATGAAATATTAATAAAATCATCTTTCATTTATTTAAATTCTTGATAAATTTTCGATAACAAATGTTATTGAAATAGCATTCTATGTATTATATTTGTTTATACATTATAAATATATTTATAATATATAGAAATACATTTCAGTGAAATAAAAGAAATAATAATTATTGTAATTAAATTGAGACAAACTACAATAGTAAAAATTAATTATTTACTATTATAAAAATAAGAAAAACTATAATAAACTATAATAAATTATAATAATAAATTAATAATTCGATAATAAAATTAATCGAAGTAGAATACCGTTTAATATCATAAAATACTATAAATAAAAAATATTGTTTTATTAATTTTTTCTCGTGTTGTTAAATAATCAATCGATTAAAGCTTTGATTTTATTAGAATTTAAAATGTTCGACTAAACGTTTGAGATATATTTTTTAGATTAATATTTTCATTTTTAAATTTTTAAAATCACTTTCTATAATTGATTCGTCTTTATGTTCTGCATATATTTTTTTACATATTGACACTTGTTTTTTGAATAATAAAACATTGTGTTGAAAATTTCTATTTTTTGATATTTAAAAAATTTTATAATATATTATAGAGGCTAATTGCACTTTTACTGAAATAATTACTGAAATCTAATTTAATATATATTATATCAATTAAAATATATGAAAAGAAATTTTTAATGCATTGATTAAATAATGTCATGTAACCATCAAAAACAAATTTATTATTATTTACTTAATATATGTATATGATCTAAGATATCAATTACATAAAAACTTAAAAAATAATCAAATTTGAATTTTGTTTATAATATTTTATAGTTTTTATTATAAAGTTCATTATAATGAGATAATGAAGTAATAACAATGAATTCAATTTTAATATGAATTCGATTATTGTATTAATTTATATATTAATTATTAAAATTATTATTATTAAGAAATATATTTACAACAAATAAAAAAAATATCTAAAAAAACATAAAAAAATGAAAATGAAAAACATATTTTTATCATATTACTTTTATCATATCATTTTTCTCATATTAAAAGATAATATAACAAAATTAATAGTAGTATTAAAATTTATAAAAATATTATATTAAGAAAGATATTTTAATATATATTCGTTAAAATTTTTTAATACATTTTGCATATCTTGATATTTTGCTATAGAGCAAGCTTCTTGAAGTGGAAGCCATTTAAATGCTTGATGTTCGTGCGACAATTGAATAGATTTGTCAATATTTATTAATTCTGCTAGCCAATAAACAACAGTTTTCAGTTTTCCATTCACTTCGTAATTAAGTTCTTGTTTTGCATCTTCGAATATAATTAAATCACTAGGTAAAAAACCTGCTTCCTCTTGTGTTTCACGTAATGCGCTTTCCATATCTGATTCACCAGGATCAACATGACCTATAAATAAAATGTAATAAATTATTAAAATAAATATTTTTTAAATTTTATATAAAAAATGTTTTATTTTTTCTAGGTTAGATTCTAGAAAATAAAATCACGATTATGTGACAAACCTTTCGGTGGTGTCCAATGATGTTCGCCGTAAGAAACTTGCATCAAAAGATATTCGACCATTCCTTGAATACGTCGAAATATAACGAAACCACAAGCTCGTGTTGTCATCATGCGTTTATATCCGAAATAATTACTAGTTATGTTTCCTTCAGACACTTAATAGATAGACAAATGGCGACAAAATAGTGAAGAAAACATGTAATATATATAATTCGATTGTATATACAAAATCTTTAAAATTAAATTATTTTAAGCGCTCTAAATTCAAAATCAATTAATTATTTATATTTATATTTAAACGAAATATAACAAATATTAATGTAATAATTAAAAAATTTGTATCATAATGAAAAAATTCAAGTTATTTTTAAAAATAAATAATTTTTAATAAATTCATATTTTTAGATACGTCGTAAAACTACGTTTAATTATTTCATTTTAACATAAAATAAAAACTAGAAGAAAAGACAAAGTATCGCATAAAAGAAACGAATGTTTTTAGATTGATAGATAGAAAGATTGATAGATAATATTATGACAATATTAGATTATAATATTTTAACACAAATTTTTAAAAATTTGACAAAATATTATTCTTTGGCAAATTATGTGTTTTGTTTTGCCTCATGTTAAAATTTTTTTTACATCAGTAAATATAAAAAAAGTGATTTTTATATTTTTGTAAAAAATATATTAAGACATTCGTGTAGGTTGGGTACGTCCCACGCCATTTGAAATTCGTTGTAAAATCTTTGAAAAATTTATAGTCATTTTTTTTTCTTGCATTTTAAATTTTACACTTTTTTCTCGTATATGATAATAATTATGATTTTACAATATGTAAATAATTAATTATGATTTTTACAATATTTTAAATATTATAAAGCATACTTTTTAGAAAAAAAATATTAATCATAATAAGTAGAGCGTATATAACTTACGTAGCTTAAATGGAAAATCATCAAAAATTAATCCAGTATAGAAAATATTAAGGTTTTGGATATTCGCAATGAAAACGTGAATTTATAAATAAAAAGTAAAGAAATATATATTAATGTTTTTCAATTTTATCTTTGATTTGTTTTTAATTTTTTACTATTTTTGTTCGTGGGATTATATCACAGAACATTATATTAAAAAATTATTTAAAAAGGATAGAATATTTACCCTATTGCACATATACAATTTTGAAAGGAATCTGAATTGGGAAACAATGTGTGTTACCATTTTATTATAAATATTTTTGCTACATTTTGTTGGCTAAATACCGATCACCAGAAAACACTTAGCAAAGCTGTATGTACGTATCTATCTACAAATTGTCACGTGTATGTTGCATGTGTGAGATGTGAATATGTGTGCGTGCAGGGCAAAGTGATGTCACTGGATGGATGACGAATCGAACCAAATCGAATCGAATCGAATCGAACCGAATCGTACCGTACCGTACCATATCGTACTGTACTGTACCGTACTGTACCGTACCGAACTGAACCGAACTGAACTGAACTGAACTGAACTGAATCGAACCGAATCGAACCGAATCGGACCGGACCATATTAAATTCGATATTTCTTTCTTCCTCTATTGTTTTACTAATTATATAATAGAAAAATCACATAAGCTTTTTACTAGTGTGACGCGATTAAGATAAACGCGCAACACAAGTATGCGCTCGCCGTTTCGAATCGCTAATGAGTCATCCGTTCAGCTTCTTCTTATAATTCACTTGGCCAATATTCTCAAAATTGAATCTTCTTTTTAAGCATCAATCATATTATTTGATGAAGCAAGCGAGTAACGAGCGGCGAGCGTGCGAATGAATGAATGAATGTGTATTTATATCGTTACAGTAAAGTACCGTTTCCTCGCCTACTTGCATTTTACAGGGATATATCATTAACGCTACTGAAAGATCTTATTTTGTAACATTAATTCATAATTGCTATGGTAAAGATACAATTTTCTACAGTATCCTGTCTTTTTTATATAACGACGATTGCATTCGGAATTATACACAGTACTGTTTCATTGGCATGCATGATCATTGTGAACAGAATTTATTTTTTTCATTCTTTACTGTCCTTTATTTTACTGTCTACTTTCTTTCAGGATCCTCCTGTTTTCACTTATTCTTTTTATTTTTTCTTCTTGCTTTTTTGTTTTTTTTATTTTTGCTCTTTTTTTTATTCAGGAAGAAATTGACATAGAAAAAGCTTTCAAATAGTAGTTTGGACAGCAATTCAATTTGTCATAAAGATCTTCTGTTCCGTTGCATTATCATAATTCAAAATTGTGTCCGACATTGCAGAATTATTCGCATCGAGAAATTCAATACGTTTATTACTTCGAAACGAAGCTTTATCGATGACTAGTCGAATGACAAATGACGAACGAACCTTGTTTGCAACTTATAATAAAAGGAAAAATATTCACGATGTTACGCTTAAATACTATATGTATAGTAATTAATAGTAATTAATCGAAAACTTAGTTTCCGCGAATTCGTTTTACGAGAATAACATGGTCACAGATTATTGATAACAATATTTGGTCGTTATCGGTCGTTTCCGGCAAGAAAGAACCATACACCGAAACATGTGCTGGACAATGAATGTTTCATCGAATCGAAAAACCAAGATTTTATTCGATATTTGGAGGCACGGTTGTGTGTTTAATTCGTGTTAAAAATGTGAAAAAATGATTCGAGTTTTGCATTTATTTAAATAAATTAGTCATTGCCTTTTGTTTAATGTAGATTAATTTTAGGCAAATATAAAAAGATCGCAATACGAATTTTTTCTCTTTTCTTTTCTTTCGTTTTGTTTACATTTTTTCTTCTTTTTTTTCTTTCTCTTTTTACTTCTTTTTTTTTTATTAATCTATTTTTTTTCTTCTCTCTCTTTCGCCGTTTTTAATTTTTTATTTGCATTCTTAATGAGGCTTTATTTATTTGGTTAATTTAGTACCTTCGTATATTGTATTATGTATGTACACCAAGTCTCTCTAGTCGCCTCTACGTTTATAATAATTTCTAATGTAAGTTCATTCAACCGTGGATACATTTGCGAATGAAGGGTTAAATAGCGTAGTAGTGTATAGCCAATTACAATATTTAAATATAATCTTACATAGTATCATTCGTAGAAATAACAGATCTCGTTATCGACGATGTCGTGCGCTCGTGCATATCGTGCTAGGTATATCTCGGAATTGTTTCGGAAAAAAGTACTTGCATCATTATTCGCGCGAGATACGAGTAAATTCGATTGATAATAATCTTTAAGTAATTAACTCCTTTTTCTCTATTTTCTTTTTTTTTTTACGTTCAACATTATGTTGTAACGTTATTTGTATACTATTAATAAAAATAAAAATATAATAACAACAATAATTAATAATTAATAATTAATAATAATAATAACGCGTTACATAATTAATTTGACTAATGCCTATGGTATGAGATAGCTTTAAACTTATAATATAGATAAAAAAGTAAAATATCTTAAAAATATTTAGAAAGGTGGTGCGTGAATTACGTTTGCATAATATTTTGAATTTTTTTCAATATTCAACGAATGACAAATGTATAAAGATGTTTTCGTTACAGATAGAAGTTTCCTATATATTCCTTTACACTTTTTTCGAATAATTTGATCGATTATGTACAAACAGATCACTTGTTTACTTAAGTGCTCCTTATATATGTATAAAAAACATAATTTGAAAAATTAATATTGCGAAAAGAAAGACTCTTGACATAGAATGCATAATGCATTCGATCGAACGCCCCACTTATAAATATCTTTATTTTTAAAGAGCTTTTATTCATGTACACTATTTTCCACTCATCTCGTCTTTCCTTCCATTCTTGCTAACAGATTCTATATTCCTTTCCTCGCTCATTAGAAGAAAGTTTATATTTTATTGATACGCATTATTAGGCACAATTAAAATAAAACAATATTTTTTGTGAAAGAGAAATTAGAAATTTAGTAAAAGGAAAGAGAAATTAATAAAAAAAAGATCAAATATAATTATGTAGAAGACGCAAATATAAGATTGGCTTAAGTAACTAAAAATAATAATTTTGTCAATTTCACCGGAGATACCGTGTTATAACATCAAGAAAATTGCTTGGAATATATAATACTGTAAACGCGTAATATTTAAGTTGATAGCAACCGTTTCGGCTAGATTGAGAGAGTACAGAAAATGAGCATAATTCGACATAATTGATACGATGACGCGAATGATATTCTCGATATCAAGATTTCAAACATCGTTTTTTTGCGTATCGATAAGAAGAACGTTAAATTATTAGCTCGATCATATCGATTGATAACAATTTGTCGCGCGATACGATCAATTCGTATCTATTCGTATTATCTTTTTTTTTCTTCTTTTAGCCTCTTCTCTTTTCTTCCTTCTGTGGAATCTCATTGAATTTTTTCACGTTTCTGTCCGATCAGCACCACCTTCTCCATTCACTCCCAATCTTCTCATTGTATTATTCCATATCTAGACGATTTCACGAAAAACCGACTGCTTGATTTTGTTTTGGCACTCGGGAGTATTTGAATATGCGCGCGTTCAACGGTCACGGATCACAGTTTTTTCGAGGCTTCCGAATAAGTAACGGGATGATGTAATGCGTTGATAAATCAAAGATCGATGATCGATGATCGGTGAAAGTTCGATTCTGCCGACGTTACTTTCGCTATTCAACTGGGACGGGATAGAGAGAATTGTTTAAACGAATATCTCTCGTGTATTGGTTTCGGAATGAAGATTGGAACTAGAACCAGAATCGGAATCATTATTGGTATGTGTATGTGTATGGATATTGGTATCGGTATCGGTATCGGTATCGGTATCGGTGTCGGTATCGGTATCGGTATCGATATCTGTATCGGTATTGATATCATCGAGAAGATCAAAGTCCCAGAAGAAGGAAAAATGAAAGTTGTCGGTAACTGTGAATCCGTGTCATCGATCATGAGAACGTTATGGATTGGCGCGGGTGGATAGGGCGCCTGTTGTCGGCAGTCACAGCTTGAGCTCATTTGCTATCTTGCTAGCAATATTTTTGAAGCCAATTGAAGTGCCTGAGATCCGTTTAAAACGTACTCCGTTCAAAGAAAGTCGTGGCAGTTTACAAACTTCGATTTCCCACTGTACTTGGCTATCTGTTGCTGCATCACCATGCGCACATAGCAGTAGAAACCTTTCACGTTGTTCGTACTGACATTTATTGGCATCCAATACCTAGAAAATTGATTAATAAATATATAAAATTTTTTCTTATACTTCTTATTACTAATTTCTTATTTTTTATTTTCTTATTATATATTATATTTTTTCTTAAATTTTCTTAAATTTATTCTTCTTATTTTTTGTTATTTAATATTATCATTTCGAAACAATTTCCATAAAATATTTTTTATTTATTTATTTATTTTATAATGAATTGAGTATAATACCTTTCGAATTTCGGACATAATTTCATTTGGATCTCGACTACTTGTAGTTTTCATACTCCAAGTGAAACGTAGACTGCGTGGCTTAACTTGCTCATCGTTAGTAGTTGCACCACTGAAACAAAAATATATTTTAAATCTGTTCGTTGTAAATTATGCATCATTCATACATAAATTTTTAAGCGACTTAAATATATCGATCACTTTCATTATTGTTTGTATTCTTATTTCCTTTCATGATTTAAAGATACTTCAATTAAATTGATAAATAATGTGCATTAAGATTTGGAACTTTGTTGATCGTTGAATAATTCGAAAAATGCAATAAAAGATGTGACATGCAAATTATGTGCATACATGTATATTGATACATTAATAGAAATAAAAACTATTACCGAGAAAAATTCTATACATACATAATATAAATTGTATATAAGTTGTATTTAAAAATTCACAAAAGTTATGAATTTTAAATAATAAATAAATATAATATAATAAATATAATATAAATATAAATATAATTTTATAGTATTTTCTTCCTTTTCTTGAATTTTTTTGTTACTATTTCTTTAGTTTCATTTCATTTTGTTTTATTTATGAATATACATTATTATTATATTGAATTCTTTGTTATCTATAAATCTGATACACGCTTTTTTTTCTCATTTTATTTTGAGATGAATTCGTGCGATTATAAGCGAGAGTCGTTTTCATCTAACGTGTAATAATTTAAAGAATTGGAGATGAATTGAAAAAGAGAGAAAGAAAGATAATTGTTGGAAGATATTAAGATAGATACATAAATTTATCGAAAAGGAGAAGATAAGGAAAAGAGAAAAAGAATAGGAAAAGTATCAGAAAATGTGAATTAAAAATTTTATTTTTATGTAACAAATTTTCAAATACGTACGTATTTGATTATTCGGAATATTCTTATATGGATAATAACTGCCCAAAAAATAAAAAAAAAAAAAAAAAATTTATTTTCTGTTTTACAATATTCATTGAATATGATTCTTATAAAATTCTTCACTCTAAACACAAATTTAGAAATTGAATTGTTCTATCATCTTTAATTTTCAAAAAATACATGATTTTTGACAAAAATATTAAAAATTTTTTAAAAATTAAAAACTAAAAGCTTCAAATTAGTTTAAAAAATAATAGCGAAATTGAATATTATACTATTAAATTATAATTATTTATAATTTTAAATAATTGTAAATTATTAAAAACTTATCAAAGTAAAAAAAAAAATGAATATTGTATAATATTAGAAAAGTCTCGCGAGATAATAGAAAAGCATGAGGTCTTTCGGTAACATTAGTCTATTATATCTATATCTATATCTTGACGTTCTTGGAGATTACATATAATTCTTATTGACTCATATTATATATAGAGTAGAAGATTAAACATTCAAAATTGTGAATAAAGGAATTTTGATGTACAAATAAGATATAATTATTTTCACTCATGAAATTATTTTAAAAATAAGTCATTTGTGAGAATTATTAAATTGAAATATTTTCGAAACTATTAATTATTTCAATATTATATGTTTTTTCAATATTTCAATATATATTAGTATATATATATATATATATATATATATATATATATAATATTAGTATATATATAAATATACTTTATTCTTACGTATACATTACTATTTTTTTAATTATTAAAAATGCTTTTCTTTGTCATTGTATTATTATATATATACAATTGTGTTAATATAGATATCCAATTAATAAATAGAACAAAAATTAGAACAAAAAATGTGTATGAAGTGTTCCTCTTCCATTCTGATCTGCATTCCTTCTTTCTAGTGAAAAGAGTTTTTAGGTTGTTTTGGTTTTTTATTATTTTTAATAAATAGAAATTTTTTTTAAGAAATTATGTTTATTTAATATAAGTTTCTAATACAATACTAAATTTTATATACATTTCTGGAGAAAAAATGATTTAGTCGAAAGAGTTTTTAATTATTGAATACGTTAAAAAATAGTAATCGATAACATGTGCATAATATTTTGCCATCATACAATCATTACTTTGTCTATTTGTCAATGCTATAATTAACATCAACAAAATTCTTGAATTGAAATTGAGAACTTTCTAAACGTAAGTTAAACGTAAAGTTTATTTTTTTCTTATAACTTTTTATTATTTAATTTTTAAATAATTCTCTAATAATTGACAAAAAAATCTAATATTTTTTAAGAATATTTTTTTAATACTATTAATTTATAGAAAAAAAACATAAGAAAATAGGAAAAATATAAAAAAAAATCAAAATTAATATAAATCATTAATTTATTTTATTAAATTAGAATTGAAGTGAATATTTAAAAACAAGTAAAGAGAAAATTTTTTTAAAAATTAAACAATAGAAAATTAAAATAAAACTAAATATTATACGTAAAAAGTAAATGTCCTATGAACAATTTTATTGATATTAATTAAGCGTAGTTACGGCACAAAGAATAATCACATAATGACAAAATACCATGCATATGCTATCAATTACTATTTTTCAACCCATTCGAATTAAAAAGTATTTCGACACTTTTTTTTTCAAAAATATATACAAAATTAGATATTGTGTATAAAATATATGTCAAAAAAACATAAATAATAAAAATTTAAAAATAATATATAAGAACTACTTATATTTACTTTTTTTAAACTTTGATGCTTATTTACAATTATTCAAAATTAATACAAATTATTGACATTATGGTATTTAGAATGTTTTTTTTTTAAATTCTGTGTTTTAAAATTAATTTAAAACTTTTAATTTTCATGTAATAAGTTTACTATTTTCCCGTGTTTTTACAAAAAATTTTTTGGAACTTAAGGATGATAGAATAATTTGGCTTTTAGAATCAAGAGTGAAGAGTTTTATAAAGATCATTTAGTGGATTATTACAAAATAAAATTTATATTACAATATAATTAATAAATTAATTAAAATTGTAATTATTACGCCTTATCTAAATTGTGCATTTGTTTTGCATCCAAGACAAATAAACGGTAATTAAATATATATCGGTATATATATATATTCTTTGTATTGTTTAATATATGTCATAACATTGTTTTTCAAATAAGAAACATATTGTTTTACAGAAAAAGACGCCAATTTATTCTATATATTACATTACAAAAATGAATTTACGTTGTGATTAAGCTTCAATAAAAAATAATCTAAGCGAAAAGAAAAAGAATCGAACGATTATAACGAACAAAAAAGAAAAAAAAAAGAAAAAAGGGAGGAGAAAAAATAGAAAGCAATAAAAAGAAATAAAAAAAGAAAAAATAAAAACGTAAAAAAAAAAAAAAAAATATAAGAACGTAAGAAAAGGATATAAAATGTGAAATTAGAATGCGTGGATCATGGTATTATGGCATATAGCAACGTACCTCACTACTGGGTGCTTGGGAGGTACGGATGGGTCCATGGGGCTGAAATAACAAAACAAAGGTAGTTGCTAACAAACACTAAATATGATAAATCATCAAATCAAATTTAGCCAAATTCAATTCGTATATTTAAGCACCACCATTCTATAATTATTGCACATCTATTGTAAAAAATGTTGTTAGGGAAATGATGAATTGATATTAAAAAATTGAAGATATAAAATTTTATTGAAACGATACTATTTAAACTTCAAAATTTATTATTATTTTTTATATATTTATTAATGAGTTTTAAAATACTATTATGTTAATTAATTGATGGAAAAAAAATCATTTAATGCATATATATAATTATATGAAATAAGTCAAATTGTACATAAGATTTTGATAAAAAAGAATGTACAATGAATACATATTACTTTGAATAGAGGATTTAGAAATAAATTAATACAACATATACAAGGCAATTTTAATACATTTATTAATATGAATTTATTACTATTATTGCTTCTTAAAATTATTTTAAATAATATCTTTATTCACTTTCTATCAGCTATTTACTGCCCTCCGCAATATAAAAATTAAAATAAACATCTTTAAAATAAATTCGTTAAGGTTTAGTAATTAAATAATTAATTTCAATCAAAGATCTATTGATAGAAGAAAACAAAAAACAAAAAAAAAAAGGAAGAAAAAGAAAAAAAAAAGATTATAATAAAAAAATATTAAATGATTTTTTGAATATTCGGACGGGAATTGGAGTGCAGCAAAGAGCATTAATCATGTACAAATGTGCTATATTCATAAATTTTGTATATAAATATTGTTGATTTATTTCTCCCTTTTTTTTATCATTTCATCTATTATATTTATAATATTAGTATTGTAAAGAGCAAATTTGTGTTGCTTCAATTTCCATCTTTATTTTCATACACTATCAATTTGTTTTGTGGCCTCAGGAATGCGTTATTAATTTTTTTTCTTTTCTTTCATAATACTTTACAGAAGTTTCACACATATGTTGTATATGTTTCTATTGAAATAAAAATTTTAAAACGGTATAGTTACAAAAAAAAAAAAAAATTTGATTGATAATTGGAACTTAGATATAAGATTTAGAGAAATATTCACGAGAAATCTGTACCAGTATGCGCTTGAATTTCATTCGATTGAAAAAAATTCATGGAAATGAAAAATTGAAACTATTAAAGTAACCCCAAGGCCACTTTTCGTTCTAATTTTTCACGTTCATTCTCCTTGTTTTCGCTCATTCTTTCATTTGTTCGCTCGATCAATTGTTCATTCTCTCCATTTCATTTTACATCACATATTACAAATCTTTATTTTAATATTTCTTTTTCTCTTTTTTCTATGCTATAATTACATTCTATAATTATATAATAATTGATTATTGAAATCATTCGGTATGTATATAATTACGCATATTGCGCGATCGAATTATGTTGAACTTGTATTAAATGCTTGAAAAACTAGTGCATCGTTTTGCATTCGTCCTGCCATTTTTTTTTTCTTTTTTCTTTTTCTATATTTTTGTTTTGTCTTTTTGTCTTTTTTTCTTTTCGTAATCAAAATATGCATGAAATGTATAATATCGAAAATAGGAAGGCACGTAGTTTCGATAATAATTTGGTTTACGCAATACTCGAGATCATTTAATCGATTAAAAATGTTTAACAAAAATAGCGTTTGCATTTAGTACAAGTTATTGCATATAAATATTATATTTTTTTTGCTCTTGGATTTCTTACGTATTTTTTGTATAAACTAAAAAATAAACAAATATTTAAGATAATCGAGCGTGATTAAAAAATAATTTCAGTACTACGTGTACTACACAGCGTGACATTATTCTATTGAAAAACATATTGAAAGAATATATAATTTTTCATTAATTCATGATTTCATTATCAAAAACAAATTATATCTATATATTTTTATTTATTATAATAGGAATCATTCTAAAATAATTGTTATATAAAGATATTTCTAATCAAACTTTTATATTTTGTTTTTTTAAAATCTTTGATTTTTATGATTTAACATTATTTTTAAAAAATTTTTTTGTTAATTTTAATATTAATTTTTTCTTAATTTTAATATTGAGATCAATTTTTGGAACGATATCGTATTATTGCAATTAAAGAATCAAAATTTATCGTTATCTTTCTTTCTTCTTTTTCTTCGTTTATTATTATTATTATTATTATTATTATTATTATTATTATTATTATTATTATTATTATTGTTATTCTTTATTGTTTTGGTTTTTGATAAATGAAATATTCAGTGATAAAGAAAAGGAAAATGTATATTCGTGTAAGAAAAATTTGCTATTTGTTCTACACAATTCGAATTCAAAAGTTCAAAATCAAATTCTAAAAATACTAGAAGTTTGAATTTCGATGATAAATAAATGACACACGATAGATGAACATATGTTAAATAAAGCATGCAAAGGAAAATATATATTGGAATGCCTTCGATATAAATATCAGATTTTTCGATTCGATATCGAAGAAAATGCATCGCGTATAATTGAATCGGGTCAATTAAATGAAATCAACAGCGCATTAAATAATATAAATGTTAAGAAAAAAAAACAAAAGATATCAATGTAAAAAAAGAAATATAAAATAATAAACGCAAAAGTTTTGTCAATCGATAAAGATGTGTGACACGTCGAATATCGATTCTTTAAAAATTCGTCGCCGATTTCTAATGCGATGAATATGATAATTATAAAATGGTTTTGATTCTTCTTCCATTTTATGAAATACAGTTTATTTATATGTTATGAAGCTGTACAAAATACTTTGCCAATGCAAATACTGAAACTATTAAGAATAATATATTTACATAAATTATACACATATGTATATCGCAATATACATGTACATTTGTATAAAGAAATGCATTCTCGGTTAGACGAAAGAATCGATATGAGAATCTTTTTATAAATAGCGATTCTGTCGCGTTATCAATTATATTTGCATTTCACAATTAAATAATATTTTGATAAACGTAAATTTAAACATAATTCACGTTTATTTCTGATTACAAGAAGGAATGAATATGTTGGATACCAACAGAAAGAAAAAAAAAAAACAAGAAATGAAAAATGGAAAACAAGAAATGAGCAAATAGTAATGGCTTAATATTATGGAGATAATGCTAATTCATTTTTTTTTCATACTTGAAAGAATTATCGTTAAAAGATCAAATAAAAAAATTTAAAGATTTTTTATCTAATAAGATAACAAGCAATATTATATTCAATAGTATAATTCTGTTCTTGAGAAAAACTTAATAAATTTTTGGCTTAAAGTTATTGTTATCCAACATATTTCCTCGAGTTACGATTTAATCATTACTACAAAATTTTAATTATCATATGTTTTTGATATAAATTTTAAATAAAAATTATTACCACAGAGAGAAGGGAAAGAATAGAAGAGAGGAGAAGGGGAATAGGAGGAGGAGATGAAGATGAAGAAGAAGAAAAAGAAGAAGAAGAAGAAAAAGAAAAAGAAGAAGAAGAAGAAGAAGAAGAAGAAGAAGAAGAAGAAATGAATGTATATATATTATATAATATAAGAAATCATGGTTAGTCGATTATACTTTAACTACTGTGCCAGTAAAATATCTATTTATTGTCATTGTTTGATATTCAGTGTGGCTCGCTTTCATTTCGGCTCGGGGGAAACAAGGCGAGACTTCAATCTTCACTTAGAAAACTTATCTATGTACGAAGTCATATATACTTACTTTATTGTTATTATAAAAAGAATTATATAACAATTATATTAATTCAATTACATTTCCATAAGAATTAGATAGCGGGTATTAGGTATTCGTATGTTTTGAGAAAATAATAATATGTAAATAATGTTCACGCGATGGATAACGATTAACGAACAGTGTTGAATTATCGATAACATCGAATAAAAAAAAAAAGGATATAATATTCAATTAACTAGATCGAAAATATAAGACACATAACGATTATTATTTTGCAAAAGTCACGAGGTTAACAGGGCAAAAATACACCAAGACTGCTATATTTTTCTTCATGATTTACAATTACACCAAGAATTATTTTTACGAAGCAATCATGCGTAGAAGTCATATATTTTGTCCATGCGACTTTGGCACTATCGATGTATAGAAAATTACATTTGAACGAATATTATTCAACGAATATTCTGTTTTCATCGTAACAATAACGGTAACGATAATGACAACGGTAACGATAATGATAACGATAACATTAATGATAACAATAACGGTGTGCATATATATCGTGCATCTTCAAATTACCTTACGCGAAACAGTCAATTTTATTTCTACCCCATTTTCCTCTCAGTTATGAGCATTTTCTTTTTTTTCTCTATATTTTTCTTTTTCTTCTTCTTTCTCTTTCTTATCGATTTTTTAACAAATTAAAAACGACAGAAAGAGAGAAAGGACAAAGAGAGAAAGAAAACGGAGAGCAAACGAGAGGGGGAGGAGGAGGAGAAGGAAGAGGAGGAGAAAAGACATATGGGCGCACAAGAATATATATATCGCGAATACTTATTACGAGCGTTACGCGTATGAAAACGAACAAATTCATTCAAGTTTCTTCTAAAATTGTTCGAAAGATGAAGAAATTAAATAATGTCGAAAAATATAATATAAATCGACTAATGATCGACGAATGCTGATGGCCACCATTCGTTAAAATTATCCTAGAATATCGCGAGAAGAAGAAAGGAAAACGAAGTTGATGTATGTCACGATGGGTACACGTATAAAAATAGAAAGAGATTGGATATATATCTTTAAAAAATGATTGGCATAAGAGTACACATTCACTGGCAGGTTATGTTAGGAAAGGCACGATTTTAAATGCTATATCTAGAAAGATAAGGCTGCGGCGACGGTGACGGCTGCTAATTGGTAATGAGAATGTTGTGTATGATGTTATGATAATAATAATGGCGGCGATTGTAATAACTTGTTGAATCGTCGCGCGTCAGGAAGACACTTCGAAAAAAGAATCGTTCCGAAGGATCATATTAAGATTACGCAAGGATAAACACGAGAATATTGCACTTCGTGTATCCTGATAGTAAAATGGTAAGAAACCTTTCCTTTAGATATGAGCAACAAGTTTCTGTTTCGTTCTCGAAAGCTTGACGATGCACCACAGAATAACGGAGTTATTCTTTCCCTTTCCTCCTCTTCTCTTTTCTTCTCTTTTCCTTTTTTTCTTTTTCTTTCAATCCAGTTTTATTTCGTTCATTTATTCAACGTATTCCAATATCCATAGATCGTTGGCACGGATGATATTACCATTCTTCTAAGCAACACGCTAGACTCGCTGGATTTGCTGCTTTTGCGCAAATTTCTCTTTCTTGTATTTATTGGTCATTAAGTTTTGCGCATCTTTATGGCCATCATTTGAAGTTCGAGCGATGCCAAGTTTTAATCGGTTCATGTCCTGTAGCATAGAATACACCGGTATAGATTAATCCAAGTGAGAAGAACGATGCATCAATGGCTATGCTGAGTCGGCAAATCGGGCAATTTTCGGATTGATCAAACAGTTGTGTCTATAGTACGTATTGACGATGCGTACAGTGACCATATCGTGAAAGTAGAAAAGATGCTGACGGTGAGACGAATAAGCTGGATTGCTCTCGTTATTCTGTGGCCTTGCATCCTTGCTTTCAACCGTTTTATCGCGTTATATTATATTATTCCTCTAATCTATTCTATTCTACGCGTTCATTATAACACTTATGTCACTTTTTTGGATTAATGATTATCTTTTCTATGTGATAAACTCAAAGTCCCATATGTATATAAAGTATAGGTAAAGTACTAAGTCAAGGATATGCCTCGCTATATACAGTCGAGTCAAGAAGGGATGCACAATGAGTATGCGAGGTAGCCTGAACTTGAGCTGGCCAAGCGGTATTATTTTCACCGATGAATTTTTAGGGTTATTTTATAAATGAGAACATTCAAACATTAAATAGGTACGATAACGGTGCATTCGTCGTGAAGGGCACAGAACGGACGATTATATTCGATATATTTGTTATTTAGACTTTTCTTCAATAATTAATTGCATTCTTACAGGAAAACAAAACAGGAATCGAAATAAAAGAGATGAATAAAAAGAGATGAGAAACAGAGCAAAAACTGGAGAAGGATATAGATATAGACATAGATATAGATAAATAGATAGATAGATAGATGGATAAATATCGATAGACGGAGAAAGAAAAAAAAAAAATACATATGTGTATGTAACGTTCGGTCAACGGAAAGTCCAACTAAAAGGTGCTACTATAGAAACCTGAGAAGCAATTTATGGGACAAAGAAACGGCAAAAACGGCGTAGAAATAAATGCAAACTACGAGAAGTATTGTGAATAAGCTACGTTTTTCGTGGCTTTCACTGATAATGGTCGCTGCTCGCTCATCGGACTGCTATATATCGTTTTTGCAGTATATTACGTATAGTTGTATAGAGAGAAATATTACGTTAAATAGGATACAGAAATGTTTAACGTATCGATATAAAATTTTTAGAATTACATAGTCATTGTGCATCCTTAAGACAAAAATGTCATATCACATGCAAAACGATAGGTTCGACTCGTTTGCGATATAAATATAAATTCAATAAATATCGTTTTATAAAGTTATTTTCTACACATGCATTGAAGATCTATTGCAAAAACTGTCGTGTCTTTGCGATAGATTTTTTTTATCTTATATATTTAAATGTATATATATATATATATATATATATCTATGTCAAATAATCAACTGCATCAATGAAATGATTTAAATACGTCTATTTTGTGAATTAGAATCGAACTTATCGTACCACTTAATCTTTTTATCTTTTTCTTTTTCTTCTTCCGCTTTCGTTTCTTTCTCTTTTCCTTCTTTTATTCTTTGCAGAAAGGAAGTTTTCAAATCAGTACAGTTGTTCTTTCGATACAATTGAGTATTAACATTTTCGAAAAAAATTTTAAATCATCGTTTATTATAAAAGATTGATCGATTGTCGTCCTTCAAAAGTATTAAGATTAAATATTTGATCGAGATTTGATTATAAGACATGTATCTGGACGAACGGTGGTACTTTACAGTGGTACATGTACTAGCATGCTGTCGAATGTGAGAAACCGTTTCTTCGATATACGTATATAACGGATGTATAACGAATCGAGAAAACTTACCGTTTGGAGAATCTTGAGGACAATTTGGAGAAGAAGGACGGTCTCGCTAGTGGACTAATTGCATTCGTGTCCTGTGTATGCGTGTGACCCTAAAAAATTTGTGGAATACAATATTATACAATAATGAAAAATCACATGTTAAATAAATAAAGATAGATTATAACAAATTATGAGGATATTCAAATATCGATATACATATTATCAAACATTTTTTTTTAGATAATTTTATGACGAGATTATAAATAATATTACGAAAAAAATTATGACTTACAAACCTGAGTATGATTTCGCTGAGCTCTATTCTGACCAGAATGAAACGTACTACGACTTGGAACATTTCGAGGAAATGCTGGTGTTGTAGGTGTTGCCAGTCTATTACTTGGAGACACACCCAAGCTGGTTGAAAATAAAATTTTTTTTAGTGTTGTATTAAAACTATTATATTTATACTTATTAGTGCATTTATATATGCTTATATATATTTATGAATATATAGATACATATAAACATAAATACATATTTGCTTTGCCCATACTTTTTTGCTAAGAATTTGTGCACCATACAAAAAATTTTTCGTTTTCGTTTTGTATATTATCCTTTGTTATAAAAGAAGCAAAAGATAGATTACAAAAAAATAAAATTAAGACGTAAAGTAAAACGTTTATTTTCCACAGAAATTCTTCTGTGAAGTTCAAGGAATAATTATAAGAATAGATAATGCATAAGCGATCTTTCTATATCTTGCAAAACAAGCTTCGATAGAATGAGCTAAGAAAGCATAATTTTGAACAAATTAGTTTAATTTGGCTAATGAGAGTTAAATGATATTGAATATAGAATGTACCGAAACTGAAACAGTTTACATTTATTTGCGTATGTTTCGATAAGACGTACGATTATTTTTTGTTCTATCTGGATTAAATTTATCATATAATACGTAATTTCATCAACATGTATACGATGAAGTTCATAGAGAAAAAGGAATAAATTTGTTTAAAGATTAAGTATCAATATATGTGTACAATATATCAAAAATTTCATCTAAAATTATCGATATCTATCTATCTTATCGATAGATTATCGATATCGTGATGATTGTATCTAAATATTCAATGAAATTATTTCATTTCTTTCGTTAACTTTTTTGCCATTGATCTTAATAAATATGTACACGAAATAAGTATACGCAAATTGGTATACCGATAAAGTAAAATGAGATGTTAAACTGCTTCATATGTAACGTACATATTATAGTTTCCCGTTAATTGTACGAAAGACAAGAAAGAATGTAGAATGGTGTTTGCTTGTTCGTGTGTGAACATAGTGATAATTATAGCGGAAAAATATGTGCTAGAAATGAAGGAATTGGGAAATAAATGAGATGAAGGTGACCAAAACCAATGATCGGAATAGAAATATACTATGATATATATCCATGCAAATTGGAAATAAAAATTAGAGAAAACGAAAGAGATTATGAATAAATGACCAAAAACTATCCTAGAGAACCTACAAAGATTACTTGCGTCATGAATGAAACATTGTATAACGTTTACACAAATATCATTTCATATTTATTATCGTGTTTCATTTCGAAACGTGAACGTGAAATAAATTCTAGTCATCCTAAGAAAGTTAGTGGCCCAAAAGAGAGAAGAAAATAAATAAATGAATGAAAAAGATGTATATTTGAAAATCTCTTGCAATACAAACATTGCATCAATAGTCTAGCGTAGAATTCTACCGAGCATTGAAATCAGTTATAATCAAATGAATTTTCCATATGATTTTTATGGAGTATAATCATTTCAAATATATATTTCAAATATATTTTTCTATCCTATCCAAGATTTGATAATCGGATTATTATCGGTAGAACGCACGATAGACTTTTGTCGCATATCTAATAGAGGACTGTATAATAGAGGTTGGCTGATAAGGCGTTGAGGATCTGTACCTCTGTCTAAGAGGGTCAGCAGTGGCGAGTAAGGAGTTGTGGGCGTTGCGTGGTTGAGGGTCCAGTAGTGAATGGTCGCTGGGAGCTACGCCACTTGAGGAACGGTGACCTGCACTGATGCTCGCAGACTTGGTGTGACCCCGTGTTGGTCTAGTGCCCTCGCCAAGGCTGTGTACAAAACTAATCAGCAAACTGCCCGGCCCTACTTTTAAATAGTTCCTATACTTATTTTCATAGATAATCTTTATTTTTTTCTTCTTGTACTTTTTATTTTTCAATTCATTTTTTTCTTTCTTTTTCCTTTTTATTTTTACTATTTAAAAAATTTAATTTTGTCATTGAAATTTTAAACGTCTTCATATATAATTTCTTTGTGACGCTTCTTTGACTATTCCGATATTTTTAAAGGATAGAATGTGGCAGAAAGGATAGGAGAATTGAAGGCATAGACGAAAATCAACGAATCAACTGATACCGAATATTGTTGTTGATTCGCGAATTTAGCCATCTAATCGTATTATAGTAGGTATAATTAGCAAGACGCAATGAAATTTATTGAACACTAATGGAATGTTGTACTATGTAATGTAATGGTTGTATTATGAATACGATAGGATAGGTAAACGGATGATAAATGTAAATTCTAACTCACGCATAGCTAATATTTTTAGCACGCGACAAGTTCTACGATGAGGGACATAGAATTGTGATACTAAACATAAATAAATAATGGACATATGTATGATGATGTTAATGACTGTTTTATACACACACACGCTGGTAAATCCAGTCATACGTTGGTAAAATATAACAGAGTAAAGAAACATGTGAATGTAATTGTGATTCAGTATCATTTTAGCAAGCATTTGTATATGTATATACGTTTATTTAGATCATTTGTTTCAGTAGATCTGTCAAGCCATAAAGAAAGTGATCTGCAATGAACGATTGGCAGGCAGCAGCCAACATGCTAGAGCAACGCAACAAACAAAGAAACTCCCTGGGGCTTATCGTGACAGATTTTTGTTATATCAAATGATTGTCATTTGTTATAAAAATGATTTTTTCTATATGATTCATTAAAATAAAAATCAATCACCTATGGTTAGTAAACGGTACAACGAAAAGTATTATTTAGTTAATAACGAAACGCCATAACGTATAAGTGATTCCGAGTCGCGCATATTAAATAAATTCATTCATTCGATTAGTGCAGATACTGGATTGTATAATTCATTGAGATTATTTCGAATATTTTTTTTAAATTATTTCTAAAATATTCATAAACAAAATTCATATTGTTCTTATACATCATGAAAATAGAATACAGAAAAGCTGTTATACATGATCACACAGATCCAGTCTCTATGCTACGTTAAAAGAAATTTTCTTTTATTCCTTTTATTTATCATAGGAAGAAAAGAAAAGAACTATTTAAATTGACATACGATGCAAAATAACTAGATAACACTATACCTGGGTGTATCGTTGGTTCTTTCGGTAGATGAAGAGGACGTTTTCGCTTGATCATAAGAGATGGTACTACGTCGACCAACAGAACCAGGGGCAGGTGAAGTAAGAGGCCGACCACTACCTACCCCTGCATTCATTGTGTTGCTCTTTCCTGCCCATGCTCTACCACCGGGACTTGTACCCACGCCTAGAATGAACATTGTCACTGCAAGCCTCATTAGATATAGTTCAACACAAAACAAAGCAGCGTACTTTACTTATACTATAACAAGCATAGCAACGAGTACAAATAAAAAAAATAATGTGTATGTGTCTGTATCGTATATAAAATAATAAAACGCGCAAAGATTATATAACGTCTCATCTGGTTCCATCCATAAAAGAAATTGGGATTTTCTTTGCAAGGATTAAAAAGACACAAATGCGACGTTGAAATTATATACATCTACAATCATAATTTTTTAACTCTAGATTATTGATAGTGCATAATGATATCATGAGTGTAAATGAATAAACTATTATCGTTGTCTATAGATACTTGCGATAGATTGTGCATCTTTCCATTTTTCGTCGGTTTGTTCATTAGAAAAAAATATAATCATTATTGATATATGATTTCAAGATAACATTAATCTAGAGTTAAATTTATTAATATTCATGCGTTCTTATTATGTCTTACAAATTAAAATCATATTTTGTAATGTAATATGAAAAAAATTGACATTAAAAAAAAAAAAAAGTAAAAAGAATGGAAAAAAAATCATATAAAGTATGAATCTCAACTAAAACTTTGATAGATTAGAATTACAAATTATGACAATCTTATTTAAAGCAGAGCTAAAGCTTTGCACAAGTACAACGTCGCAAAAAAAACAATTAGACAAATATAAGTTGAATTACGAAAAAAAAATCACAAGATGACGAAAAAAACTCACTAGTATCTAATTGGCCAGGACTGTTTTTAGGAGCCGAAGGTCGGCTCGCAGAAACGCGAGCAGTATTCTCTTTGATCGTGGCCGCATCCACAGTATTTTGTCTCTTAAAATTACTACCAGTGTTTCCAGTTACAGTTCCACCAGTCGTAGGAGTTGCGTGATTATGGTTCGTTGCATTTCCTGGGCTCGGCGCTGCTCCTAATAAAATAAATATTATTTACGAATAGAATAAAATTTGTGTTTTCACTTCTTGTAATGATATGAGCTTGATCGATGTTAATCATTTTTTTTTATAAAAATCCTTATAATTGCTAATCCTTTAGCATAGACAACATTGAAAATTGGGGGAATTTTTTGCTGAAACATAGACCGATTTAATTCGGATGTCATGCAAATTCATTGCAATAATAAAATAAAAAGTTGATAAATTTATTCTTTTTATCTATTATATAATATATATATAAAATCTAATTTTATTTAGTAAGTTTCGCGTTAATTTGATTAGGGTTCACGTTACATATACATTTAATATTATATACTTAATCCGGACAGATAATTGCTAATAACTGTAATAATAAATTTACAAATATAACTTGAATTCAATTATTTAAAATCTTTAATAAATAAAATCTTTGATAAATAGATGGATAATACAATTTTTACTTACGAAGCGTTTCGAGACCGGATGAAACTCGTCTACTCGGTTTTGGATTGCTAGCAGAGATACTTCTATGAACACCTCTATGCGACGGACTCTGCACAGCACCACCAGTGCCTCCTCCACTTCCTCCTCCACCTCCACTTCCACCACCACCTGAACCAGCTTGCGGTGGAATGTTGCGCAATGACAACGAACTGCCTGATCGCGAGCCATCTGATTCAGGCTACGAAATGAATGAACTATTAATTTATATCCATTCATTGGTTACGTTAATCATATATTATACACAATAATTCTCCATGTAAATCACCAAATCTTTCTGCTACTCACATCAGTTGTCTTTCTTCCTAAGAGTAAGTACGTGGCGAACACGTCATCGTACTTTGCTTGTCCTAAGGAATCTTCTATTTCACTTCTTGTATATCCCATACTAGCCAGGGCCTCTAAAACAAACAGGTGTAACGGCATAGTCACAACCACTAAAAATACTAAAACGACAGAAATGAATCCTAAAAGAAGACCTACTTATATTTATATTTATTAATGCAAAAGAAACATTTCTAAAAGAAGCTTAATGCTTTTGCTATACAAAAAGTGCAATTACATACTTTTTTCACTACTAATGCTCTATAATTATTATTCTCATTATTATTATTTCTACTACAATTGTGCATTATTCAATTCAGAGATTGAAATGATTGTTAAATCGTAGACAGTAAGATGGGATAAGTACACAGGAAAAATCTTTTAGTTACAACCATCGTTGGTTTAAGTAAAAATCGTATGTCATTCATGAAAATATACATCACACGTTTGAACATGTATAATTTTTACGTATAATGCGACGCGAAGCAATATAACTTGCAATATAAAATGATAATAGAATCAAGCCATGCATTTTTATATTTTATATAGAAACAATAAAAGTAGTAAGTGTTATGTACATACTGGCAGACTCACCTATCCTCTTGTGGTCTTTATAATCAGGTTCAGGTTCTAAGTACGGTTTCAATTCGTCGTCATCATATCCCATGTTCATCCATTTGTCCTTCATAATAGTCTAAAAGCATAAAAACAGAATAGAATGTATATAGTACATTTTCAAAGATATTATACGTTTGAACATATACCTCTAAGGATGCCCGTTTTGTCGGGTTAAGCACCAAAAACTTTTTCAAAAGATTTTCACAATCCGTGGACATGTAAAATGGAATTCGATATTTTCCTCGTAATACTCGTTCCCTCAATTCTCTCAATGTCGAACCGTCGAAGGGCAGTGATCCAGACACTAATGTGTATAATATTACTCCCAACGACCACACATCTACTTCGGGTCCATCATACTTTTTACCTAAAAAGCATTATTGATGTTATTGAATTTTTTCAAATCTCGAAATATATTGATTCTTGAGAAATAAAGGGAAGAAAAGACAATTAATTTATGCATATCTACCTTGAAAAAGTTCAGGTGCTGCATAAGGAGGTGATCCGCAGAAAGTATCCAACTTGTTGCCTGGTGTGAATTCATTGCTGAAACCAAAATCGGCGATTTTGATGTTCATCTCGCTATCGAGTAATAAATTTTCAGCCTTTAAATCCCTATGGATGATCTTTTTTTGATGGCAGTATTGCACAGCAGAGACAATTTGCCGGAACTTTGCTCTAGCCTCCTTTTCTTTCATTCGACCATGTAGGACCAAGTAGTCAAAAACTTCGCCACCGCTGGCGTATTCCATTACCAGGTACAATGTTTTCTCAGTCTCGATCACTTGGAAAAGCTTCACTATATTCGGATGATCGAGCATCTTCATTATTCTTACTTCTCGGAACAACTGAAATAACACGTAACATTATTCATACCGTAACAAAATATCATTTCATTCGATGAAATAAATATATAATCCAAATCATTTCTTACTTTTTGAAGGCTACCGGGATTTAATTGAGTCTTGTCAATAATTTTGATAGCCACTTCTTTTCCGGTAGGTACATGTTTGGCAAGTTTTACCTTGGCAAAGTTACCTTTGCCAATTGTTTTAAGTAATTTGTACTTGCCGATGTGGGGTTCCTCCGAGGTTCGACTTCGAGAAGAGAGTCGACCACCGCTACTCGACACTCCCACGCCATCCCCTGTCTGTAATAAATGTAAATAATTTCTAATTAGTAAAATCTAGAATATCTATATGAAATAATGATCTTCGCGCGGCGTTACAGCTGCAGCGACAACTAAATCTTATCAGTGGCCAATTTAATGTGTTTCGATCGATTTTTTGCAATCAAATATTACAATCTGAACTGATTCTTTAAAATTTTACTTAACTCCACTCGATTTTATACGATTATGGAACGTTGAGCGTCACGCGCTTAATTGACCTTTTATATTTTCAAAATTTTATCGAATTATAGAATTGATGGAATTGAATTTTAAAATATCGTTAAAAATTGAAAAAATATTTGAAAAATTATTAATTTCGATTACAATTATCTCTCTAAGGTCAGTTACCCGCGTATGGCCACGAGTGACCATTTTGCAAGAGGAGGCTGCAGCAACTTTTGAGGCCGCCAGTTTGATTGGTTTTTCCTCGTTGTCTTGAAAGATAAAAAAACCGACTTGCAATCGAGACGAGAAAATTGAAGAGTGTCAATCACTTTCTGCGGGAGTGTATCCGTAATAATTACGTATTGATAAACTTAAACTGATTATTCGTAACACTGTTTCACTTAATGAAAATAAGCGACTGTTCGATTCTATTTTAAAGATTAGGAAAAAAATATTTGAACGATTGGAATACCTAAACGAGAAATTCTCGTCTTCCTATTAGTTTTCTTTCCTAATTAATTTTTTTCACGCGGCATACACTGAATTTTGATCACTTCAGATGACACATACATACACGCACATATGAAATATCGCGGAAGAAAGATAAATATCGCAGTAAGTGGTAACATAAAATATATGATTTTTCGTCAAGTATATATTCTCTCTTATAATTGGTATAATCAGGTACAAGAATATTTTCTTTTTGGTCGACATATATATATATATATTACTCGGCTTTTTTATCGAATCATATCAAGGATAATTAAAAATTTTTTCCCGAAATAATATAGATAACATTGATCTTTAAATGAAAATAAGAAAAGAAGGAGGGGAAAAAAATTCGAATAGTTAGAGTTCGCAATCATACAATTATATGCATTCAAAATGAAATAAAACTTATTTTCTTTCATATACGTTTAAAACAGATAGATGTTGAAACCTTGTAGAATATTAATTACAAAAAAGAAGCAGAGCCATAATATTTACATTGTTTATTATATTTGATTAAGAAAGTTGGTTTCGTTTGAAAAAAGCGAAGGTGCACAGTTTTATTTATTGCTCGCACAGTCACTTCGATTAATTTCAATCCGATTACACTAAAAAATTTTTCCACTAATAATAACGAGATGCGAAAAGGATGGCGAGTGCGCATTGATAACGTTAAATGAGTCGAAATGACACTCAAACGAAAAGAAAAAAGTTAGCAGCGATTAAAGATTGAAACGAAGGTTTCGGAGGTGTGCCGCGAGCGCATATGCGTCTGACGTCACTAATTACAATTGGCGGCCTTCGTCTTCGGGTTAGGTCATGCGAGGATCGAGCGAACCGCATCTTCGTCTTCAGTCGGTCACAGATCAAAGTCGAAGCGTCGACCCCTTGATTCGACAAAAATAAAGATGAGGAAAATTTAAAAGGTGGTTAATCGTCGTCGTAGCCAACATCCAATGCGATGTCTTCTCGATTATTATTTTCTTCTTCTTTCTCGTTTTCGTTCACCGGACGTCACAGAATCGGTTATTGGTCAGAGAAGTTCACAGCCGAGGAATACGAAAGGAGAATCAATACGCGTAATGCCGCCACCCCTGTTGCTACCGTGCGAGCAAACTACCCTTGAAAGCCGAGCGTTTATACAAAACTCTCCTTTATTCGACTTCTCTTATAATTAATTCTCCGACGCGTTCATCACGACCAAGACCACTTTCACCACCATCGCGCGATCATGGCGGTGGCGGTGGCGGTGGCGGTGGCGGTGGTGGTGGCGACGACGACAACGAAGAGGACGACAGCAACGACACGACGACACGACGATGAACACAACGATGGTTCGTAACGACGACAACGTTTGCGCATGCGCTAATCTCGGAAACAAGTGCCACCGCCATCCCGCTTCCCAATAATCTTTCTTACCAAAAGTATCGGACTAGATGCGATCGAAACCTAAGTCTTCGCGTAGTCAGCTGATCACCCCAAAACAATAAACAGTCGTATCCGAATTTATAACGTTATTTTTAGATCGAAGGAGATCAAGAACTACAAACTATTGTATTGTAGCACGAGTTATATATACGATACGAATTATAAGTAATTTTTTCGATTCGTAAGAAGACATGATTTTGAATATCACACGATTTGACAAGGAATTGTGACTTAATACATAAAAAGTTAAATCATCGCATACTAAAAGAATATTTTAAGACGAAACGATTGTAATATGATTCGAATCGAAAAAAAAAAAAAAAAAAGAAAGAAAGAAAATAGAATGCAGAATGAAATAATGTAATGCAAAGTAAATCGACTATGATGGATCTCACAATTAATAGACGATGCATTTTTGTATAATCGAACGGACAGATAAACCATCCATGTCATTCTAGCTGAAACGGATGAGACTGTGACTAATCATGTGCGTGAACCAAGCTTATACGCGTTATACTCGGTTGATTAACCGAGGATTGCGATTACGTTAGTCTTAACATCGATAGTTTTCGATTTATTATTTCGGTTTGATGGCTCAATATTTATTCGAATAAAAAATAAAAGAGAGAAATAAAAAATAAGAATAAAAATAAAAATAAAAAAAAACAAAGAAGAAAAAAATAATTTCGAACAGAAACACTTATTATCTCCTCTTTTTTTTTTTCTATTATTTTTTTAATCGCCTCCTCTCCTCTTTATCCCTTCTTGAAAGAATTTACTATTTCTATTTAATTGCCGCCCACTATAAACAATATCTACCTCCTTCTCATTTTGCGCACTCTTCTGCGTGACGGTTGACAATGGTCTGACCGCACTGCTCTGTCGCTGTTGCTGTTGACGTTGATGTTTCTTCGCGTTGTTAGCCTGTATCAATACACGCGCTTGCGACACCCTAGCTTGCGCTCGAAGGAGTACTTCCGCTTCCTGTCCCCGCCTCGAGTCCGAGGCTGTCCTTGATAATTTTGTTGAAGCTTTCTTAGTAACGATGCCTGCATTTCCCGTCGAATTCCTTGTCGCATCTCCTCGGTGTAATGGAGACCTTTTCGGTGTAATTCACCGTGATCATTCTAATTCCGTTGTTTATGATTTTCCTACGATTTTACGTTAAATCGTGTCTTTGACACGTTTGTTCCCGCCCGATTCTATAAGATTTATGCGATTCAATAGATACACAACGAGAGATTCAATTTCGCTTCACGAATAATCGAACAAATGGACAAAGGAATTAAAAGAACTGAGGGCAGATAGATTAAAATGAAAAAGAATAAAATTAATGAATAAAAAAATAAAATGATTAAGAAAAATACATATATAAATGACAAAAAAAAAATAAATAAATAAAAAGAAAAGAAATGAGAGAGCGAAACACCAGAATAATACGTGTTGCGAATATATCATAGATGTGAAATAATTGCATTTCGTATGATGAGAAGAGAGAGAGAGAGAAAATGTTACCCCTCGGCCTCGTTATCCGTCACGTTTCGAAGTAGATCCTCGTGTTCCCTGTATCGGTGAAGGTCCGCGTATCGAATTTCCGGCTCGAAATCCGAGCTAAACTCCAACTGGCGCGTTCTAGCTGCAAGAGTGTCCATTTCGATGGCCTTGACCTGCTGTTCTAATCGTTGAAGCATATCCGTACTCTCGATAGCCGGGCCTTTTCGCTGCTTCAGGATTAGTTCGAGATTAATCGGGACTTTCGCATCATCGGCACATTCGTGTTGAGGCGCCATAATAGGTTGAACGATCTTCGAGTCTTTGAAAGCTTTCAACTTCTCTTCGAGATTCGCGTCGATGGCTATGTTCTCAGGAAGAGTTTTCCTTCCAGCGAAGCTTGAGATACGTTCAACATCCGTCCCCGATATCTCTTCCCGAGGTTTCGCGCCGATTCTCTTTTCCACTACTCGCAAACTGTGACCGCACTCTACCAACTCCCATTGCTTTAGATTGTCCATCGTCGGACGAGGTGTCGCCACATACTTTCCGGAAGAAGTAGGACTGATATGTTCTTTCGTGGGATGGCGTTCACCGATTTGGCACTGTTTGCTGTTCTCCGTCGTTGATGTCACCTTCCCTGTCTCGAATCCTTTTCGCCCGATTTGCAATCGGATCGAATCTCTGCTCGGTTGCATCCGAGTGAACAGCGATCTCTCTTGATTCTCCATCTTTTCGATTAAAATAATTTATCGCGCGTCGAATGCGTGTTACGATCAAATTTTATAATGGAAAAGGAAGAAATGCTCAGATTTCGATTGTTTTCCGCATAATCGTTCAAACCTCGATTAGTATTGGCAACTCTTCAATATGGACCCTTCATTGACCAAGTGGATAGACTTCTACAGGCGGATGGGTGGCAGCTCGATTTCTCTGTTAGAAAAACATGCGTTATCCTTGTTAAGATGTGTCGTTGGATTGCTTCGCTGGACGACGATCTTCGTCGACGAAGGGACGATTACCACTCTTGACACATTTTTTTCACATTTATTACCCAAAACCCGAGCAGAAGGAACGAGGCACGAAACACGATTCAGCCGATTATCCTTCGCCGGTATTATACCTTTCTCTAATTGGCAACAGTGACATATATGTGTATATATATATATATATATATATATATATATATATGTGTATGAGTATATGTATATATATATATTATTAACAATATATATTATATATTATATATATATTTTATTAACTTAATATATATATATATACCGATAAGCAGAAAGCAACGACGGATAACAGGCACACTTGATGAAAGACAGAAAAGCTTTTTCGACCGATGAAAACTTGGAATTATAATATTTTCGATATATTACCGATTTGATCAAATTTTCGATTCGCGAAGAACTTGCCGATTTAAATAACTAAAGCGCGATAAAGGCGACTAGATTTAGAACGAATCTTTAACCATTTTAATTATATCATTTTCATTGATAAAAATCGATAAAGGGAGTGAATTGATAAATGAAAAGAGAAAGAGGAAAGAAAGAGAAAGAAAAAAAAAACGAGAGATAACGAGAGAAGAAAACGAATGGTAGTGAAACTAATGATATCACATGTACATGGTACTTAGCAATATATATATATATATCGGATCGACTGATAAAAACACGCACGCGTATTTCTAAGGTGTTGATTTGTCGATCTTCGAGTTTATTTTTTTCATTGGCTTATCGCTCGGTGGCCGCGAATCCGCGTTCGAATATTCGAGAATATACGCACATTTTCTCAAAATAAACTCGAATCGGTGGGAAAGAAAATTAGAAGGAAGAAGAAAAAAAAAAAAAAGCGGAAAAATTTGATAAGAAGAAGCCAATTGTCGTTGTTGCGAGACAGATTATACGTTTCGATGGAAAAATTTAACTCGTTGAAACTGTTTCGAGTATGGGTTAATAAAGGTGTGATAAGAAGTATGTTTCTCTTTGTCGTAGTAAGTATCACGGTTGGCCTCGACGGCGGTGCGACGATGGTGAGAATAAAATACCCCCAATTTATCGCGCAATCTACGGAAATTTATACGATTTGTTTCTTCATTGTCAAGAAAAGAAAAAGAAAAGAAGTGATAAAGTTTCAGATGAAGAAAAGAAAATTTTCAAAAGAAAATTGAGGATTTTCGATTGGTTATGATCTATATCGATTGTTGATTATCGATATTGCTCGTAATTATTTAAGAAACGTATCTCTCTTGTCCAAAGAAGTGACCGATCGATAAAATTTCAAAGAACACACAGCACTGCAAGAAAACTCGGCTCGATCGCCGAAAAGATGGGAACGAACAGTCTTAGATTGTGCGTCAATAGACGACTACGAACAACTGGGTCCATTTCCCGAACGATAATAACTCGACCAACCACCACCTCGACTTTGTTAGACCGTTATCAATGATAGATGAAGATAAGCGATAACCGCCTACCTAACTTATTTCGGATTCCAACCTAACTTACAAGAAGAAAAATATATTTATATCATCGTTGAAATTTTCCTATTTAATTGAAATTTTTAATTTTTTCTTTTTAACAATAAGTTAAAAATTATAGTAATAATGTGAATCGCGAATAGGTTTTGAAAATTAGCTAAATATATATATAATTTTTATAAATTATATATAGTTATATATATTAGTCCAAGACTATAATTCTTTTATAGTCTTTTTATAATTCTTATAAAAAACAACTGTTTATCTAAAAGTCTCGTTTTATGCGTTTCTCAGAATACTATGTTTCTTTCATAATGTTTTCCCATAATCGATTTTCAACTGATATCGATTCAATAGATATCGATTTGTCATTCGTATGTCATGACAGACGGTAAAAGAAAGAAAAAAGAGGCGAGAAAATAGGCGATTATAAACGTTCTTTATAGAGTAAGAGTCAATGTGAGATTCGATCGATCCTTCCGTTCAAACAATTCGCCAATGAATGCACGAATGAAGCAAAATTAGAAATAGGCTGCATCGAAAAGATTTGAACAGTTGTGTCTCGAGTTTCTGGAGCCTGGCCAAAAGTAAAATTTTCAAGTATCGCAATATCGTATTCAATATCGAATTTTTTTTTTTTTTTCAAAATTTTCATTCTCGATCGGAAATTCTTTAACAATTTTCCATTATAATCGATAAGAAAAACAAAAAGAATAAAAAGATCGAAAAGAGGAAAGAGAAAAATAAGAAAAAATAAAAATCGCTGAGAAAGATGTTGAATTGAACTTGAAGAAAAATGAATGGAATTACGAAAGAATCATATCTATCGAAGCATATCTGTATACGCGTGATCTAACAGATAAATTGATTATCGAACTGATTAAGCGGCAGCTGTATGCGTTCTTTCGTTTGAAATATAGAGACAGTGCGTTATAAATCGCAGTTAAGAATCGAACAGGTGGCTGGCAAGGCTGAGCCGAAAACGGAATATATCTATTCTCGCCTGATCGAATACGTTCACCTATGTGAATTCAGCACAGTGCGTGATTGAAATTCACCGTTATATAATACAGGATTGAAATAAATAAAAGAAAGTAGTTAGCAATTACTAATAGTAACCAATGTATTAAGCAAATATTTATAAGTATTTTCATAAAATATACGGTAAGTAGTACTGATTCTGACTTTTCTTTTCATGTTGATTATCTTCATTCCAGGTTTGTTCGTTTGACATAAAAATGTATATTAATCCGTGACTCGAATTATCTAAGCAGACGAGACACATTTATAGAAAAATAACATACATTTATAGAAAAATAACTACAGTTACAAACGTATTTAATTAAACTTTGCAAAGTTGAATTATCAAAAACGTATTTTACATTCGCAGAGATTTTAATTGAAAGCGAGATCAAAATCGAAGAGTTTGAAAAATGACTGAATCAAATCTACGATGAAAAATGAGCACGGAAATCATTTCGTGGGAAATAATCCATCAATTCGTCGTTTATTACCAACTTAACTCTCGAACTTATTCACTGAATGATCTCGGTTTGTCATTTATTTGAGAAAATGATGAAAATATTGATTATTTGTGTACTCGATTGTACACAATTGTAAATTGGCACTAAATTGACGGAATGTTTATACAATACGGCATATACAATACCACGCCGCGCCGTTCCATCTTTGGCGTGGCCAAGCCACGATATGAAAATTTCTCACGAATGCGAGACACAAGCGTGTACACCAATTGCGGTCAACTGTGTTCACAATCGACGAAAGCAGTGCTCGTGACTCACTCGTTCGACCAAGTCGATGGTAAACTCTGTTTCTCGCCTTTCGTCTCTCACCTCTTTCCCAATGCGGTCATCTATCATGTCGAGAGCTCAAAGTGCAAGTACCGATAGCAGGTCTGTATTCGACCGCTTCGGTACCCGTACTGCCATCTTTTTCCCTTTCGAGAGGTTTGATCACACTTGAAATTAGATATTCATCTTTCTATCGAATGAATGTTTGCGTATCGATATTATCCTGAAAACACTCTTTTCTTTTTTTTTTCTTTCGTTTCGAATCTAATTCGAATCTAATCGAAATCTTAAGTTTATTTTTAGTTTCAATTTTTTTTTTTAATGTTAAATGAATCATATCGGAAATTTACAAACAATAGATAGAAAATGATAAAGTTCTGTTGCTTTTTCTATACGTCATCGATATGTCGATAAAGTAATAAACGTATATCTGTAATGATTATCAGGAATTTTCTATAGAACAAATTTAACTACAATGGCTAACTTTTTGTATAAAGTTGCATTATAGTGCAGTCTGCATGCTTTACATCGAATAAAAACGTTGAAAATTGTAATAAAAATAATAAAAATTGTAATAAAAAGTTCAATAGATCGAGTTACACGTTTTACACGATAAATGTTCAAATATATATTTTCTTAATAATTATTATATTTCAATTGTGACTGAATTGAAAAGAGAGAAAAAAAAAAGGATACAAAACTGCCCACTGAATGTATTCGTTGAATCATTTTTGATAATTCACGAAAAGTAAAAGTTAAATTAACGAATTCGTTATCCGTAATTAATCGTTACGAAATCATGTGTTTAAAAACATTTAAATTTATAATTTCTTTTTTTGTCATTTGAGTATTGGTTTGAAATTTAGAGAAGATTGTAAATCAGACGCGTTTGAGCAATGCTTATTTATATGTCTTTTTTGACATTGTCAAAAAGACATTTGTCAAGATAACGAATCATTCATATATCAAAGGAAATATTTAACGGATATAAAAGCGCATAAAATTTATACATATTCTTAGAAATTATTATTTTACGACATTAAGTTTGTTTATGATATTATTGTATCACCGCATCATAGAATAATAAAAAAAAAAAAAAATGTTTTAAAAATATACTCGATAACGGTAGAGATTGACGATAACCAGTTGTGAAGACAATTTGAAACATCTTTAAACTAAGTGAATCAGGAAACAAGCGCTATTAATTGTTTATCATGCATGTTCGTTCCATATGACCCAATGCTAGCTTTCAGTTACACGAGACTCACGAATGAAAATATTGAAGCTAGTTTACATAATTCTTTGTCTAATTGATATCATGTACGCAGTTGCGAGTTTGGAATAGAAGTTTTCCTTCACGATTGTCACAAAATGTGCGTTGACAAATTTTAATACTTTTAATATTCGATATATATACTTACATGTTCATACCCTCAGTTTCATCGTTTCAATAAATATAAACGATATTCTTCGATTTTTGATCCCCGAAACATTCCAATTTCAATAATTAACTTTATAAAATTTTATTAAACTGTCAAAAAATTAAACTAACTTTTTTGTTATTTGATCAAATATTTAATTATTCAAATATTTTTTAATTTAATTTTTATATTTTAATAAACAAAACAGTAAACAGTAAAAGAAGAATTACCATCATTATAATGAAATGGAAGATTCTCGGAATTCCCAATTATTGTCCAAAAAATTCAAGATTATTCAATTTTTAATATTGTTTGTAGTGTAATCCACAATATGGAATAACTTTGTGGTTGTTTGAATCAGCATATTTTGATAAATATTTGAACAGATAGAAAAAAATCATTTTTAGTAACATCAGTATTAAACGATACGTACAGTAGGGGAATGTCGATTCGTTAAATGAAAATGGCCTTGATGAAACTCTCATCCAATGTCCGTATGAACATTGCCTATGTACATACAGATGGACAGTCCCCTGATGGCTATCACGGAAGTGAATCGTTTAAAGTATATTCGAGCCGTTGTTAACCGGTGTCTCCGAAAGATAGTTTATCGTTATGGAACAATGAATTTTTTCTAATGAATTTCATCATTAATAAATTTCATGATCGATAGCTGATAAAATCATTTTTATTCTTCTATATGTATCAACTATATTCACATTTATCGATTTCTACTTATTTACTTAAATATTATAAATAAATATTTATTTATAATTAGAGATGGATCAAAATTTTTAGATTTGTATGAAACTTTTCTTTTTTTTGTATGAAGTTTTTTTCATAAGAAATATTATTTTATTGAAAAATAACATTCTAATAAATTTTTATTTCTGAAAATTCAGATTAAAAAAAAGTTTGAGATTATATTTGTAGTCAATAATTATAGTCAATAATATATAATTGCCTTTTTGACTAAGAAAAAATTAAATTTTATTGTTTTTTAAAAAATTGTTTTTTATTGTTTTACTTGAATTAATTAAAATAAGTCAATAATCTACATATAAATCTAATTGAATATTATTGATTAAATAAAAATAAATATATTTTCATAATATTTTTTACAAGTTACGAACAAACTAAGAAATTATACAAATTATTTTTCATTTTGATTTTGAAAATTTTCAATTTTCAAAAAATTTCTTAAAAAATTTAAATATTCATCAAAATTTTTTAAATATTCATAAAAAACTAAAACTTGTTGAAAATCCAATACAATTAATTTTGATTTAAATTTGTTTTTGATTTTGTTGAAATATTAATTTAATTAATATAATTATTTATTTTTTGTTGCTCTTTCATAAACAAAATTTTAACTAATGCTTGCATATAAGAATATTAAAAAATACATATATATTTCAGTATATTTTAGTTGTTTTGCATCAAATTAAACAACATTAAAATATTTTATTTCTAGAATTATTCCTAATGCATAAATTTTTGATGATAATATAATTGAACTATAATAATTTTAATAACTTTTTATCATCTTGTACATCAAAATTAGTATCGTTGATAATTATGGGAATAATTAATTGCAAGATTTTGGTTAAGAACTCATTAAATATTGTAATATCAAATAGTATTTTTTTATTAAATATGATAAACATAATCAGCGATGTTATAAATAGTCCGTAATTATTATTTTTTGTTATTCTTATTTTTATTTTTTTTAAGATCATATACAAATCCTGAACAAAATATAGAATGACATCATTGTATATTTAAGTAGATATTCTCATTCATTTGATTTTCGAGAAACCGAATAGGAACAAAAAGAATCATACGATAATTCACACGTGTGTTTGGTGATGATATATGAATGTTAATCGTATATTCAAAGGCAATATTACTCGTGTACCTAACAAATAAATTCATTTCGTTTGGCTAGTCTAATAGCGTAATGAAATCGCGCGTCTAGTTTATCGTATATCAAGGTTAAATATGTTTCATAACCAGTACAGTGATAAAAAATATATAAATTCGAGAATTTCAATTTTTGTCAATTGAATCGATGGATATTTTTCTTCAAGAAGAATTAAAAAATGAAAATAAATATTTTGATCGATATTGAAAATAATAATTGAATAAACGCGAAATCATCGGATGTTGTTATTATACTTATTGACAAAAGTTAAGAAATATAAAGAAATTCGCCAAGGATTATCTTTTAAAATCAATTGATTGAAATTAAAAAGAAAGTAAAAATTAAAAATATGAAAAGATAATCAATATATTATTACATGATATTTGTAAGGTATTCATTTAATTAATCTATAAAATCATGTCCCTATTCTTGACAATATTTTCGTTAATTCGATTTCATTGTTAAAACAAATGAGTTTCCAATTTAATATAATCTAATAAATGCGAATTTAGATTCAAATCTAGAAATTGCTATTTAATTACATTCATATTTTATTAATATAAAATTATTATTAATTTAATTAATTTAGAAGATTTAAAATTTTAATTTTTAAAATTTTTAAAATTTTTAAAATTTTAATTAATTTGGAAGAATTTTTTGTCATGTTAAAAAGATCATTTTATTCAAATTTTTTCATTTTTAATTATAGTAGTATATGAATTTATACAATATAACAATACATTAATTTATCTATTTGTTTCAAGAAAGAATTAGAAAGTCTGGTTGGAATTTGTTAAACATTTAAGTGAAATTACTAAATAGTCGAGAATTCTATGAATAAGAATAAATTATTTATTTTAAAATAATTTCAAATGTAACATACAACATTCTACTAGATAACAATTTGATTTTAAGGATTTGAAACATATAAAATTTAGTAATAATAATGTGATAATTTGATTGTTTTTCTTATAATCATCCTCACTAAAAATAAAAGAAATTATACGAATAAATTCGTATATCACGATATTTTATAAAATTCATACATTGAAATAAAATATATATATATATATATAATATATAAAATACATTAGAATTAATATATTGTGTTTCAAAATCATATTGAAAAAATATCAGTAAACGTTATTTCAATAATGTTTAATACACAAAATAATACACAAAATATTTTTAAATTTTAAAAATTAATTATCACAACATTCTCTTTGAGAATCATGAATGTAATTAATAGAACAAATATTTATGTAAAATCATAGTTTTATGAATATAAAAAATGAACTTTTTTTTGAAATATTATATTTCTTGTAATACTTACTAATTATACTTTAGATTTTATATATCTCTGCATATTATGAGCATTTTATACATTTTTATATTCAAATTTTGTACAAAATACATAAACATTTGTAATCAAGTAGTTAAATCAATTCTTAGATTTGAATCTAATTTGTGGAATGTCGAATATTAGGAAATCATTATCAATTAATCAACACATCGAAATTAATACAATAAAAAAATAAAAAAGAACACGAAAATATCATCAAAAGCACAAACTGAATCTTGCATTCGATAATTAATTGAATAAATGTCGTGCGAATAAATCATGAAATCTAAGTTATTCAACATCTTAGTCACATAAAAATTATCGATATTTATATATTGTTTTTTTTTTCTTTTTAAAAATAATTATATAATCTGACTATGAAAATATCTTTCTAAATTTTCCTCCTACATATTTTGTATTGTTTCTTTAAGTCGATATTACTTTTGGTCTTCATAAAAATTATATTCGAAAAAATTTGTAATGCCTGTTATATTCTTATGTTATTTTTTAATTCCAAGCTATTGATTTCAAAGGATAAAAAGTATAAAAAAATTCGTCAATGATTGCTTTTTAAATTCATACATCGAGAAATGTACGTATGCACTAGGTATAGATATATTTAAGCGGAAACCGATGATACGTAAACGCGAGCTACAATGCGTGCCGCGCATTCTTGAACGGTGAAAGGAAAGGAAGGAGAAGTTGCTACGCCATGATGTGACGCGCCATATAGGTATCGATAGATAGCGATTCTCCGATAGAAAACCTCGAAACGAATTAGTACGTGTCTACAGTTATAATGTCTAAATGAATAAAAACATAAACGTATGTATCTCGTATAAGAAACTCTGATACAGAAAAAATATGCAGATTTCTATAATAGAATAAATATCGAGAATATTTTATCGTTATCGAATTTGTGATGTAAATGTGTTTTTTTTTATATAAAAAAGAATATTAAAACACGTGTCACCGTTGTATATTTAATGCAAACCATCGAATAAACATCTGACACCTTTGTAAATCGAATGTTTTTCCGATGAACAAAAGTGATGTGTTTCAAAAGAGCATTGATGAAAACAAAAGAATGTTTCACCGCTAATAAATACCTACGAGAATTTATTATTTTGCCACAAAGGAAGCAATTGTCGCAGTTGGAGGTTACGTACGACTATTTTTCTATATTTTAACATTTTATTTTTTTTTTTTCAAACCATTAATGTTGAATATAAGAGCATAATTTTAAAGTACATGCTCGAATGGATGATAGAACTTGATTCAGTGATCCCAGTTGAACCATTTTGCCATGTTTTTTATTTACTGTAACCGATATTTTGCGAATCGAATATTTGACAAGCAATTACATAATATATGCTAAGATCAATTATAATATTGACAGGAATCAATAATTTGCGGAAATCCTCCAAACTTATAAAGTTTTTTCGTCGGAACTTCCTTTGCGTTCTTCTCAAAAAAAGATCGCTGCAGCACTCATTTTTATCTCTGTGTCTTCGATCGCCAAAGTCGACTTCGAAAGACTTATTTGTAATAGCTCAATGTATGCCGTGTGGAATCGTTGGTTGTGTAATCGCTTATGTTCTCGGAATCTTCTTATTTGACAAGACAAATAATTACATCGATAATTTATAAAGATATTACAATATGGTTATATATGTATATATATATATATATATATATATATATATACACCCACATATATAAAACCACATTGTAATATTATATATATATGATTGAGTCAAAAAGAATCGTATGAAAAAT